TCGTCGGCTTCATCTCCTTCTTCCTCTGGCTCTTCCTCCGCCCCAGCGCCCCCGTCTTCATCGTCTCCTCCGCCACCGTCTCCGCCTTCAACCTCTCCTCCCCCTACGGACCCTCCCCGCAGCTCTCCTCCTCCTTCAATCTCGCCCTCAACGTCTCCAACCCTAATAAGAAGATGGGCGTCAACTACTTCCACGTCGCCGCTGCCGTGGCATACGACGGCGTCATCCTCGCGGAGACAGCACTTTCCCCTTTCGATCAGGAGGGAAGAACCTCCACCACATTGCAGGCAACGCTGGCAACGCGGCAGGAGTCTGTGGGTCTTGACGTGGCGAGGGGGATGTCACGCGATCGTGCGACCAGCGGCGCCGTCCGGTTCGACGTGATGGTGGAGGCGTGGGTTTGGTTTAAGACGAGCGCGTGGAGTACGAGCAGCAGCGTGATGAAAGTGTACTGCGAGGGCATCAGTATATCGCTCATCAACGAGACGGTCACCTCTGGATCGATGGCTGGGCCAACAAAGCAATGTCAGGTCAACATAGGATGGTGAGCTTGATTGGTAATCTTGCCTTTGCTTCTTCCTCTTCTTTATATGTCTTTGAACGATTCTAGAATGCATATCATAAATAAGCATGCATGGATGGTCTGAAGTCTCTGTTCTTTTGATTGGTAATCTTTCCATTGCTTATTCCTCTACTTTGTATGTCTGCTAGAATGCATAACATAGATAAGCATAGAGGTCTCTGTTCTTTAGTGTGGATATTACTTCTTGAATGAAATGATATACTTTTACTGTAGTTTTCTATTATATATCTTGCTCTTGGTTATTTTTGTCGATTGAGTTGTATCAATCTGTGCAATGTTACCGAAGTGGTGGGGAAATGCAAGTATATAAGAACGAAATTTTTTTTGGAATTGTTGGTGTTTTGCATGTTTAGGTTATAAGAATGCATTTTTGTAGGTTTTGCTTGTTTCTTTGATATATACAAGGCTGCTATGAAACTATTGGTATTTTTGGGACTACAGGCAATTCCTTCCGAGCCTTTTTGTATCTTTTTATCATGGGTCGTCAAAGTTGTTGATGAACTGATGCGTCGTGGTTGGTGAGTCAGCACGGCGTGATCCACGGGTCGATGTCGGGAGTCTTCGGTTGGCTTCGCTGGTTGCTGAAGTCGGTCACGCCCTCAGGACGGAGTGCTGGCAGTAAACTGTTGGCGTCTCTTGGTTGGGATGATGATTGTGGCTCTGTGGAGGCTACTTTCCGGTTGGTTACTGGCTTGGCCCCTCCGACGATCAATTCAGTGATTGGTGGAGGTTTTTGTTTGTTTTTTGCCTCCCCCTGTGTTAGGAATGGGGTCGACACTAAGAGAGGGGGGTGAATTAGTGCAGTAGTAAAATTACGTCGGTTAAAAAAACCTTCGTACGATAAAAACCGATTTCTATTAAAACCGTTTCGGAGAGAGGTTAACTTGAAAGCGTTTTCGTAAAGATAGCTTGAAAGTGTACGGAAGATAGATAGTGGATATAAAGCAAGTTAAGAGGTTTGCAGTAAAGTAAATTACTCAAATATAGAAATGCAAACCAGAAAAGAACACGCCGATTTTATAGTGGTTCGGTCGTCGTGACCTACATCCACTCCATCGATTCCTCTTCCGTCGAGGCCATCGGCATCCACTATCGATCTTCCTTTATAGGCGAAGATCAACCTCCTTCTTACAACTCTTTCGCCTTTTACCGGGTTTAGGAGATAACCCTTACACCCCCACTCACTTCTCTCTCAAACTATTCTAATACTTAGAACTTTGAGAGGAGTTTCACACAAGAGTACAATAGAGTTTCTTTCTTTTTTACTCGCAATACTTGTGTGTATTAACCAGGGATGAGAGGGGTATTTATAGGCCTCAAGTTAATTCAAACTTGGAGCCTAAAAACATCTCATCCCTGGTTTCCTGGGTCTGGGTGGTACCACTGCCTATGCTGGGCGGTACCACCGCTTGACACTGTCTCGGAGATTATGCCACGACGATGTCACCTCTTGGGGCACTATTTGGGCCTTTTTATTGGGCCCAACATAATTCTTACATGGGCCCAATTGGCCCCTAATTGGGTTGGCCCAAATCCAATCTCAATTACGTGCTAACTATGAAATCTAAGGCATTTGCTAAGCTAAACAAGTCCCTATGTCTTGGTTTCTTCCAGCGAGCTTCCGGCGAACTTCCGACAATCTCTCGGCAATGTTCTGGCGGACTCCCGACAAGCTCCTGGACTTCTCGGCAGAACTTCCGACGAACGTCTAGAATTCCGACGAACTCTCGAACTCGCAACGAAATCGCTTCCTTGACTCCGGGACTTCATTTTGCTTCATGCCTTGCTATCGTAGTTAATCCTACACATGTAAAAATACACTTCGATCTAGACAATTAATACTAAGCATTAATCATGTTGTCCGGCATGTCATTGGTCCCTCGATGCTTCGTCCAATTCTTCGGCGCATCGTCCTCTCTTGCGGTCTATTGCCCAATCGGCCAGTTGACTCTGCAACTCCGATATCCTTGGCGCAATATCCGTTCTTCTTGGCCCGATGCCTGAATCCATGGCCCGAAGCCTTCTGTCGATACGTCGACCGATCCTCCGACTCGACATCCAATCTTCTAACATGTTTTCCTCCGGCACAACATGATTCTTCCTGCTTTAATTGTCTCATCCTGATCGAAGCATCCTGTGTCACTCAAAACGCAGATCAAATCATAAACACTTATCAATTGATTTTCTCATCAAAATTCGAGATTCAACACCTTGGGCCAGAAGTCGGCTAGGGGTTTTATACTACTGTACGAGGGTCGGCCGTACGTGGGTTTGGCGTGACGATCGATCCTCGAGGGGTGAGATGGTACCTTTGTGCGGCCGCCGTCTCGGGACGCGCGGAACGGCGCCATACAGTGTCGTCCCGAGCTTTCCGAGACGGGATGTATTGAGCAACACCTTAGTACAGATTCTGGCTTGGCGCGTGGGGGTGCTCCTTTTGCTGACTTGGCGGTGGCATGGCGTGGCATTGATTGTGATGTGGCCAGACCCAAAATATACCTTATAAAAAGTGATTGAGATAATGTCAATTAGGTCCATCCAAGGCGAAAGTGTTGTTTGTTACCTAAATAGTCACTGATTATAGAACCAATGTTACTTTGGTTTGTTTGACTTTGCAGAAGTGACCACACTGGTTCAACGTTATTGCTTGGCCCAATTTAGAACAAGGGAGTATCAATGTCCTTCTGACATTGTCAAACTGAGCAATCCTGGTCTCGATTAGCATGTGTAAAAATTAGTGTATAGGGTGATTGATTATAAGGTGTCTAATACGAAATCATCTATGGAATGTTTCACATTGTTGTAAAAGAATCTATTGGTGTGGGTTGAAAGTTCAATCGTCTCCGATTTAGAGTTATTGGTGTGGGTTGAAAGTTCAATCTATTGGTGTGGGTTGAAAGTTCAATCGTTCCAGTATTTGCTTCGACTGTGATAGATTTGTTACTCGGCATCGTTGATGAACATAGGTGAGATGGATGGGAACTTTTTATAACAAAAATTTAGAATGTGATAAATCAACTGTCAATATGTCGCACTATTTTCTTCGAGTCTAAGAAAGGAATTGACAATCAATTTAGATAGCATTATCGTACAGAGAAATACATATCCATGTGAAAGATGTGACCAAATCTAGGAATTGGAATTTACAATGCCACAGATATTCATGTGTGAGAGAAGAAGATAGATAAATTGATAGGATATGATTGAAAGAGTCAGATTTACATGTATTAGTTTTGGTCCACAACCTAGAAAGTTAAGCTTTTGGATCGAATCAATGCTTAATCTCATATATTAAGTATAACCAACTTGATTCAAATTCATCTAAATCTCTAACACCGAGACTTTTAACTCTACCAGACTTGTTCAGAGTAAGAAATTGTCTGTCTTGTTTTGGATGTCAGATGAAGAAGCTGAACTAAAACGATGGTCATATGTGGAACTGACTGATTCAAGAAGGCAATACTTGATGGAAGGGAAGCCTCCAAAGATCACAGGAGGATACAGAATATAAAGGTCTGCTTTTAACTTAATTTGACTCTGAGAACTCTAGGGTTTGGTCAGGGATGAGCCTAACATGCTTTCCTCTTTAGATTTACCAACTATCCTCTGCATTATTTGCACTAATCAGCTAAGAACCATCTATATTACCAGTGCTTTCTACTGCCTGCAGAGCTTAATGTTCTATTCTTTGTTGTTCCTTGGTTGGTTAATATAGTGAGATTTCTCGTCTGCTGATGCTATTCTGATAAACCAAATGTTGTTTACAGTTTTTGCTCATCAGAATACCAAGTTTCATCATCCTGAATGATTCCATCCTTTTTCACTCTTATCATGTTGCCTTTGCCCTGTCTCATGCATTCGAAAGGCACCTTGGCATGTACACTGGCCTATCAGGCCCGAGTCATAATATTTGGTATCAGAGCCAACCTAACATTTGGGCATGGTGAGGGGGCTCGAGTAGGAAAGGACTACCCGTAGACGGAGATTGTAACACCCCTGATTAATCCCATATCGAAAGTAGACAGGAATTTTGGTCACTGGACTGCCTCTCTCTCTCTCTCTCTCTCTAGATATATATTTTTCCTTTATGCACGTCAAGAGAAACTTAATCTTCAACAAGAATATGAACTACGAGCTGAGAAAGAATAAGCTCCATATTAGCCCAAGTATTTATTTTTTGTCGGAGGCGGTGCGTTATTCTAACGCCAACTCCTTCCGTTAACGCCCGCCAGCCATTTCTTATTTGCGTAACTGCCATCTTCGTGAATGTTCTCCTCACCGTAGGGTTTGACGCCGGTGCACACTCCGTCACTTACTCTGTTCTACAGTTACGCCACGTCACCATTAATCAGAGCGTTTTGCGCAATGAATCCTATCATTACCAGCAAAGTAAGTATAAGCCACTTCTTTATAAGCCACACCACACCCCCTCTCGCCGCTCCACTCACTGTCTCTCGTCTCCGCTCTCGGATTCCCATCTCCCGATCCCCTCGTCGTTATCGTCATTGGATCCACCATGAAGAAGGACTGCGGCATCCATGGAGAGCAGAAGCGGCACAAGCTGTACCGCCGCCTGTTCGCGACCTTTCTGATGCTTGTCATCCTCGCTCTCCTCGCCGTCCTCGTCGTTTGGCTCGTCCTCCGCCCCACCAAGCCCAGGTTCTACCTCCAGGACGCCGACCTCCTCCGGTTCAACCTCACCCCTGGCGCCGCCCCCCTCCTCACCTCCGTCGTCCAGGTCACCCTCTCCTCCCGCAACCCCAACGACCGCATCGGCGTCTACTACGACCGTCTCGACGCCTTCGTCCTCTACAACAGCCAGCAGGTCACCGCCGCCACCGCCCTCCCCTCCGGCTACCAGGGCCACAACGACGTCACCGTCTGGTCCCCGTACCTCTACGGCGCCGACGTCCCTCTCGCCCCTTACCTCGCCGACGCCCTCTCCCAGGACGAGAACGCCGGCTACCTCCTCCTCTACGTCCGCGTCGACGGCCTCCTCCGGTGGAAGGTCGGCACCTGGATCTCCGGTCACTACCACCTCCAGGCCAACTGCCCCGCCTTCCTCACCGTCGACACCGCCAAGTCCCACGGCGGCGCCCCGCCCTTGTTCCGATTCCAGCAGATCACCGCCTGCAGCGTCGACGTCTGACGGTGAGGCCGTTACAATCTTGACGGCCATCAGCCGTGACGGTGACGGTGACGGTGACGTTGACGTTGACGTCTTCTCTCTCACGTCCACATCTGACCACGCCATCTCCAATTTTCGAAAGTATTTCAATTTGTCTATATTGATTATAAATATATTATGAAAACAGGTGGCGTAATGATATTTAAGCAAAAATAAACTGTGATTATGATTCAAACAGGTGGCAACATTTCATGACACAGCTTGTCTAGTTAGGTGGGCTCGGTTAAGAGCGTTGGGGGCCCACTAAGTAGTTGAGAGATTTCCACTCTTAGTATGCATTAAATAATAATTTAATCTAGAAATTAATATAACGCATTAATTTACATGAACACAATGTTATCATTCAAATCAAGTTGATGATTTTGAGATTAATTATTTTAATTCGTCTATTTTCATCTCATCATAAAACAAAAAAGATTAATATTGAAAGACAAAACACCCGTATGCAATCCAAAGGAGATGTTAAAAGTATCTTATAATTTGAACTCTAAACTTCCACAATAAAACATAAGCTGTTAAGTATATTATAAGACTTACTGACGTGCGTGATGTGGACGCAACCCCTTCCAAGGAGATGCTCCTTTCTAGTCCGAGTTCACATGTAGGGACTAAGAGAGAGAGAGGGAGAGAGAGAGAGGGTGAGAAACTCTTGGCAGAGAAGCTTCGTCTCAAAAGATGTCATATTCCATCAACGACGACAACTGTGAGGCGCCGTAGTTCACGAAGTCAAAGTCTACTTTGGCAAGCAATACATGTCATTCATGTTGTCGATTTCTCCGCATAGGAAGTCAACATGACGACAATCTGAAACCCAAAAGAACTCCGCGCCTCTGCGATGTCGACCTTCGAAGATGACCGCACACGTATACGGTAAATAACTACTGCTTTTTGTTCCGTGCATAGCACAGACTCCTTCGCACACCCAATCGATCGATCGTATTCTGAAGAAGGCTTCGTAGCAGTATATCGTTAACATGTCGAATCACATATAATAGAATTCGAAGAGCATAATTTATATTAGGCTTTGTTCCCGCACAAGTCGCCCACTCTCATCTGCAGAATTGGTTCCTCTGAAAGCAACTCCCTCCCCAACTCCACGAAGAAGACATATCATTCATGGGGTACACACAAAGACTTTGCGGAGTTATCACATAGCTAAATTTGTGGGCACTTCCATATGTATACGTGTTGATAGGTAACCAAGTAGGACTCCCTCTGCCTATTTACCATCGCGTCTATCCAAAATAAGCTACCAATCTCTCTCCGCGATCATCCCAACCTTTTTGACTCCGCCGCACGCGCACCAATTCCCCGAACGCGTCGCCTGTTTCGCCTTGTCACGCGTTTCGGATTCCTTCGCCTCAGGGTTTCGCAGGAACCTTCTCATCTCTTTCCTTCCCCTCCTAATAATGAACCTCTCTATATAAAGACCATGGCTTCCACCATCTCATGATCCACCGCAGCGTCACCCTCTTCTTGTCTCCCTTTGCGCCCTCTTATTATCTGATTTGCTCTCTTTGACCCCCAACCATGTCAAACTCGAAGCAAGGCCACCTGAACGGAGCCTACTACGGCCCTCCGGTCCCTCCGACGCAGTCCTACCACAGCGTGGGCAGCCGCTCCAGCTGCGGCCCCTGCTGCCTCCTCAGCACCCTCTTCAAGTTCATCATCTCCATCGTCATCATCGTCGGCATCATCGTTCTCGTCGTCTGGCTCGTCTTCCGCCCCCACGAGGTCAAGGTCTACGTCGGCACCGCCTCGCTCACGCAGTTCGCCTTCTCCAGCAACAACAACAGTCTGCAGTACAACCTCAACCTGGACATGAGCATCCGCAACCCGAACAAGCGGATCAGCATCTACTACGACTACGTGGAGGCCCGAGCGCTGTACGACGGATCGAGGTTCGACTACGACGTCCTCCCCACCTTCTACCAGGGCCACAAGAACACCACCATGCTGTACCCGGCGTTCCAGGGCACGAACCTCTTGCTCGGCGACTCCGTCGCCACGACCTACAACAGAGAGAAGCAGGAAGGCTACTACTACGTCGACGTGAAGCTTTACACCAGGCTGAGGCTGAAGGTTTGGATCTTTAAGATCCATTACAACAAGCAAAAGATCGACTGCAGCTTGAAGCTTCCGGTGCCCGGGAGCTCGGGCAAGTTCGAGGGGACAAAGTGTGATGTGGATCTCTTCTGATCCCCTCACCTCCACATGGATATACTATTCATTCATTGTTTTCTTTTGCTCTTTGCTCTCTCGCGTTTAGCAGCAGACTGTCTCCACCGATATGTTTCCTTCCCATTATAGTTTTTCTTTCTCGTATGTACTATGTCTTGAGTTCATCAGTTGATATGCATACATGTTTTATCTTCCTCTTCTTCTTCTGAACCTTTTGTTGGTCTTCTTCCATCGGGTATTATTTGATAGGCATCCTTTAAATATCATGCAATTATTACAATTAGGAAGATTAAATCTGCAAGAATCGTGATTAGCAAGCTTACAACAGAAGCTAAAAGAAAGGGCAAAAAGAGACTGAGATCCTCGTGTGACTCGGGCCGTGTTATCTTTTACCCTTCACAAGATAGAATATTAATTGCTGTGCACATCTTCAAAGCAGCTAAAAAGGAGACGCCTTCGAAGGAGCCTAATCGACACGATTAGGCATCACTGCCGTGCGATTCATAACCAACGACTCTGATCTCACGGGAATTACGACGGTCATCATAATCTTCATGCTTTTACCGTACACAAATCGTACGTCCGTTATTATCAACGGCAAACTAGTTTTATTTCTTGGTTAATCGACCTTTTGGCGGTTAATAGCACCTATTTATGTCGCTTTGTTCGTCACGACCTCAGGCACGACTGCCGCCGGAGCCCCAACCGCCCCTTCTCCAGGTCGTACGCCATGTAGTAGTCCTGCTGCTGGAAGTTGCCCAGTATGATCGCCGGGCCGCCGGCGTTATCCGAGGAGGCGCCGCCGTCGCTGTCGGAGACGATGGTGAGGCACATTGCCGCCCTATCCGGCCCCGTGAACGCGAAGTAGTTCTCCGGCGGGAGCCGCATCTCGGCGTGGCCATCGAAGCGGAAGGTCAGCTCCGGTAGCTCCACCTCGGCCGAATCCGGCGGCAGAGCGAAGCAGGGTCGCAGACCCGTCCGGGCCTCCACGGCGGCGGACCGGTTGTACCGCCCCGCCACGCGGTTCACGAACGCGGCGACCAGAGGCTTGAACACCGGCGGTGCCATGTACGTGAACGTGGTGCCGGAGTCGACGATAGCGCCGCCGTTGCCGCGGGAGTTGGGGATGAGGGCGGAACGGGGGACTCCGACTTTCTCGCCGCCTACGGCGATCTCGCGCAGCCCGACGTAGTAGTAGATGGAGAAGGGCGACGCTTCGTCCGCGCCGGTGGCGGTATTGTTGAGGAAGGGCGTGAAGCTGAGGCCGCTGGAGGTGTCGTCCTTGGCGGGGTCGAGGACGAGGAAACCGCTCTCGACGGCGTCGTCGTCGTAGCGCCGGGATATGAGGCAGTAGGAGAAGCGCTTGAGCCCCATCTGGGAGGGGAGGGAGGGAGCGCCGCGGCCGAATCCGGCGACGCCGGCGGGCTGGCGTTCGGAAAGGATGGAGCAACCGACCGCGAAGTCGGGGACGGTACGGTGGGGGAAGGCGAGTGTCTCCAGCATGAGGAGACCGGCGGTGGAGCCGGAGCCATAGATGATGGCGTAAGGTGGGCAGGGGACGGCAGGGCAGCCGTCGTCGGAGGTGGAGTTGCAGGAGGGGCAGCGGGAGAGGCGGTCCCGGGGATGGATCCAGAGACAGCGGGGGTTGTGGCAGCCGACGAGGCGAGTGGAGGATGAAGACTTGGGGAGGAAGGGGATAATGGGGGCAGCAGAGGGGGAGGAGCAGCTCCGGCACTGGTAGGAGGAGCTGCAGGGGACCCAGGTGAGGTGGCTGCCGGTGTCAAGGAGGAGGGAAAGTTGCTGCGGCGGGGTGCCCAAGGCGAGCGTGAGGGAGTAACCGCCGTATGAGTGGGGGAAGAGTGGGGAGCGATAAGGAGCAGGAGAGGCGTCGTGGCGGCGGGGGTTCTTGAGAAGGGAGGCGCGGAGGGCGGAGGCGGAGGCCAGGGCGGCGAGGCGGTGGAGGGAGTCGGGATGGGGAGGCAGAGGAAAGCGGCTGAGTTGAAGGGAGACTGGAGTAGAGGAAGCGGAGAAGAGGAGGAGGAGGAGGAGGAGAGACAGGGAGAGCAGGAGGAGATGATGAGACGACGGCATTGTGGTGGTGGTGGTGGAGAAATGGAAGAGGGAAACGCTAGTTATCAGCCGAACGAGAGAGTGTGTGTGTGTGTGGGAAGATTATACTTTGCTTGCCTCGGAGCGCTACGGCCGATTGAGACCGTTGGTTGCGAGCCTATCGAGATGGCACCGGTAGCATTGGGTCCCCCGCCGGCTCCCTTTAAATCACGTCAACACATCTATCTTTTCATCAAGATTTGTGCCATCGATCAGAACGCGTCGGATCCGCTCAGCGCAGATTTCCACGTCAGCCTCATGGACCCAAGACGTGGGTCAACGCTGCGGGTCCCAAGAGAAGGGTCAAACTTGATTCTTTCACCGCTTGAATGCATCGAACAGTAACCCTATAAATCTTGTCGAGGTTCAAAACACACTGTGATATTAATATACATCGTCTTCCCCATCCTCCATCCCAGGCGTAATAGAACAAGCGAGGCTCAGAAGCAAATCCAGAAAGGCCTCGACTATGATCCCGTGACACCTCTTCTCGTTCATCTTCAAGTACCAGCACAGCATCTCCTCGAGCCACTGCACATCCACCAGTCCATGGGCCATCGCCATCTCTTCCATGGACCACCTGAAATCCCAGTACGGGTCCTCCGACTCCACTTCCATGGCGATGCTTCCTTCGAAGGGAAGGCTCTCAGTCTTGGCCGCCGCCGCCGCCGTTATCGAGCTCGTGCTGTCCGGCTCGAAGAAGAGCCGGTCCGATCGTAGCCCTCGAACTACCACGGCCTCCACGCCCTCGGCCGCTGAGTCGTCCTCCGACGCCGTCGAGAAGCACGATTCGGTTAAGTCCAAGTACGATGAACCCAAGCCGTCGGAAACTTCAGCGCCGTCTTCCTTTCTGAATGAGTGGGTCGTTGGGTGCTTGCAAGAGGGCCAAAGCCATGAAGCAGGAGGAGAAGAGAGCGGTCTCGCGTCTCCCTTTCTGCAGAAGAGAGAGATAAAGCCAACTTTCACGGCCATTTGGCTTCTTTCTTACGAGTGGAATGAACGGAACTGCGTGTGCTATGGGTTGCTGGTAATCTGACTCTTCCCGAGGCATTAATAGAACTGGAGAGACAGGAAGGGAAGGTGGGAGGGAAACTGGAGAAAGAAAAGAACTCGGAGGATCACCGAACGTGGGCAATCCCTGTGTGCAGGTGGCACGACAAAAGTATTACTCAATACAAGCAGGAAGAGAGGTCGCCATTGGCGACAGATTCAGTGAGATGCTTTGATGAGTACTTAAATTGTTTGTGCATGCTAACAGCATACAGCTCTAATCTGTCATGTCTCGAATCGAGGTTCGTTAGCTGGCCATTGGCCACAGCTCTCTTAACTCGCCAATGGTGGATGGCCACGCTAGCTTACATGTTGCGTTTTCTTCTGCTTTTGCTTGTCCTGTGTCGATGTCTACGCTGCTCCAATCATGGAAGGTCAAGCCGAAGAAAGGAATCGATTCTTCGAGCAAACATTTTGTGGTGTGTTTGTCTCTGTCCTCTCCGGACAATGCCCACCCATCTGAGCTCGATGGCATCTATCATTTCTTCCAGCTCTGCACATGCCCCTTTGACTGCCTCTTCGTGTATCCACGGCTGGCTTCGCAGAAGTACGTTTGCCTCTTAGCTAACACGGGAGACCAGCCGAATCTAAGCTTATCCAAACTTCATCATCGCAATAGAATTCTTCGTGGAAGTATGAATAATGAACACAGACTAAGACACGAAGGAGACGAGAAAAGGGAAGAGGGAAACAGAAGGCATATATAGGTGTTCAGCTGGGGAACATATTTTTTTTGATGAAGAGGGATGCTGAATCTGTGATCATATTACTTTTTAGATGTCGATTTTGATAAGGGTAAAAATGGTGACGTGACGCGCCACGACGTCAGCCACGCCAGGTGGACGTACTTTCCGAGGAAGCAAGCATTAATGCCGACTTGATGTGCGCCAACGTCACCAGCTCTCAGCCAACAACCTCAGCATTTGACTCCGTGCGCTCGATCGAGGCAAAGGAGCACGTCGACCAAGGCGTGCCCATACCCTACGGTAGCCCGGTTCTCCACGCAACCCCAGTGGCAATGTCAGACGCCACGAGAGGTACTGTCCTGCCCCTGCAAGCAACCACATCAGGTAACATCAAACTCATCTATAAATACCCCAGAGTTCTAAACGAACAAGGAGGGAGGGGAGACGAACTCACTCAGACACAAAACACTCAGATGCTCTTCTTCTGCCTCATCCACAATCCCCTCCACATCGCTGATTTGATCGTCGGAGGGGTCGGGCCGAGCTCCCGGCCCGACCTGTGTGCAGGTGGGAAGGACGGGATCGCCCCTTCCCGACGTTGCGGCGGAGCTTCCTCCCGACCCGAACCACTGTGCTCGGCCGCCGGGAGACCCCGAGGGACGCCGCCCGAGATCCCCCACATTCGGACTCCCGAACCGAGCCGCGTCGGCCCCGAGGCCATGGCTTAAATAGTTGCACACCGCAAGAGACTTCATGAGACCATTTTAGTGTGGTGTCTTTGGAGATTCCCTCTCAAGTGATTCAAATCAAATTTTCTGGTGCTGAAAACACCAAAATTCAAGTCGAAGATGTCTTCTGATACATCGGTACCTCATTGATATCTCAGTTGCAAGGCCAATGTCAGCATTATTGACTCAGTCCACGGGACTGTCATTACCTAAACGATGGCACTGAGCGAGCCTCTCACTCGTTCATAGTGATCATCATCTTAGACAAGTCAAAGAAGGGATCTTTAGACTCTGTCCTCGTCTGCATCCACTTCCGAAAGCAGCTTTGATTCGAACTTATCATCACTCTCCTAACCGGGCAGAACACCGTGAAGCCCACAGGAAAGACAAGTCAAAGAAGGGATCTTTAGACTCTGTCCTTGTCTGCATCCACTTCTGAAAGCAGCTTTGATTCGAACTTATCATCACTCTCGTAACCGAGCAGAACACCACGAAGCCCACAGGGAACCTCGAGGACCCGAACCTCTATCGTAGCAAAGGGAATTATCCATCGAAGATCCCATTTTTTTGGCATTGAATTCTTAGCTAGCATACACAAGATTCTCTTAGTACAAACGAATAAATCAATAAACATTTGTTTTTATTTCGGTATCAGCAGACTTCCAAGCCGTAGAGGACTCCGGCGTGCTTTCCGTCGTCGTTGCCGATGAAGAAGAGCTCCTTCATCCGTCGGAACGCTTGCCAGGTTAGCAAACTGTCCGACCCCGCCTGGTGGCACCGCCCCACCGCCCGGTCGACCTGGAGCGTGCTCGCCACGCGATCCAATCCGCCGTACAGGCTGTGGCAGTGCTTGATCATGTGCTTCATGTCGAACACCCTGTCCCCGAAGAAGACCCTCACCAAACCCATGAAATCGCCCAGATTGCTGGGTAATCTGCGGCAAGTTAAGATCTTTATCAAGTACCCGAAGTCGTACGCACTGTGGAACGTCACCCAGCTCACGGCCGAGTCGTTGCACACCAGGCCGGACGACATCAGGAGCTCGGCGAAGCGCCGGGAGTCGATCCCCCGCGCCCGGTTCTTCTCGAAATCGATCCCGTTGGACCTGAGGAGGTCGATGGACTCGGGGGCGTAGCGGTCGCGGTAGATGTCGAAATCGCGAAAGTTGAACTCCCAGACGTAGCGGACGGAGCCGCCGGCGCCGAGGTCGGGGAGGTTGCCGGCGGCGTCGGAGAGGGTGAGGCCCACCTGGATGAGGTGGAGGGCGTCGACGTTGGCCTTGAGGAGGGCATACCGTTCGGCGGGGCAGAGGATGGCGGGGTGCTTCCGGGAGCGGTGGACGACGCCGGGGAACTCCGTGTCCATGGCGGCGAAGGGGTGACACTCGACGGCCTCGCGGATGAGGTCGAATTCCGCCTCCAGGTTATCGGCCCACACGGAGCGGACCTGGACCTCGATCGGCTCTTTTGCATCTTCCAAAGAAGGCATCTTTTGGCCGCTAATCTGCTTCGATCCGGTCGACTCCTACCGGTTTCCTTTTTCGTTTTCACCGCCGGCTCGATTCGTCTTCCGAGATGCTCTGCTTCGATTGGTGAAGTGCGAGGGGGGAGGGAAGGGGGGTTTTGTAGTGGGGAAGTGAGATGTTTCCAAGAAGGCGGCCGCGGAAGAGGAAGAGGAGGAGGGGGACGGAGTGGAGTGGACACGGTCAATGAGCCAGATCAGGATTGTAACTGACGGGAGGCGATCGGGCACCAAGTCATCAGGACCGTCGGGATGTTGTGCCTCGTGGATGGAAAACCGGCGGCTGTGGGTCAGTGTGGGCTGTGCAGTACAAGCGACGGCGAGTGAGGAAAAGGCCCAGGGTACAGGGAGGCTCGTACAGGTCATGCGGGACCCGAAGCCATGAGTGTGGCTCCCGGCAACAGCGTGCGGGCGGAATCGGTGTTCCCTGTCTTGACGGAACGCACGGGGTGGAGAAAGGGGGTGGTTGTGGTCGTGGGATGCCTGTTCAACGAAACGCGTGTTTAATGGCGACAGCAGCCGTGGGTCGGAGGAAGGGGATGGTTTTGACCGGCTTCGTCTACGTTCATCTCATATATCTTTAATGAATGTTACTCTCCCTTTGGACAGTGGATTCGAGGAAGAGTGCATGAACACAGTGGCATCTGTTCTTTCGTCATCGTTCAATGCACTTAATTGGTCAGCAAGATGCGTAGTTCAATGAAACTTCAGTCTGTGGCTGTCGAGCATCCTCAACCACTCATCAGCACGCACGGTTATCCTGATCTGATAAACCAGTGCCGTCCGATTCGACCATCATTAATCCAATAAAAAAATCATCGCCACTACGGTAGTCTTTAACGTAATAATATTATTCATGAATATGTAAAAGGAAACCAATGTGGTTAATAAATTAACTAGAGACAAAATAGGAGTCAAACACGTTGACTCAGTAGGGCGGCCGAGTCTTGGTCTTGCGTGCCGGAAAACCCATTTCCCTGCATTGTCTTATTGACTGCTGACTCACCGGTGAGAAGTCTCCTGGTTGGTTCGCAGAACATCTCTTTCAAGCTGCAAGCATGTCTCCACCGTAAGCTTGGACGAGTCACACACACCCCCGATGAGACAGGCTGAGTTTCCAAGATTGACCTCTCTTTATCTCCCATTTAGATATTGTCAGCTTTTTCACATATTTGGAAAAGGAATAAACTTGTGCGATCTATGGCCATTCTTTTGTCAGATCCCCCACATATCTAACGAGGAGTGACTAGTGTGGCTTCATGTATCTCGGGGACAACAAAATGAACTGAACTCTCAGAAATCACAACCACAACTGAGATTTCGAATTCACATTTCGGGTTCCCTTTCTGTCTTCTGCATGTATGATAATAATTCCAAGCAACAAGCATTCACTGCTAATGTAGATTAATCATAAGCAAACGACAGCACGAAGTAGTAATTAGTAGTACTCGTCATGCACTCGAGCGGTCCCATCAGTCTGTCAGGCTTACAGTGCAGTCTGCCAAAACACAGTACGATGTGTTCAGGCATCGATACTCTCACGTACCTAACGTAGGAACCTCGTGACCTACTCGAAGAAGGTGCCTTCGGGAGGCTGGACGAGCTTTCGGCTGTGTGGCGCCGCCATCTCCTTCTTCAGCTGGGTCAGTATGTCCTCCATCGTGTACTCTCTCTGCCAATTGGCTAGCATGTCAAACTTCCTCGCTTCCACCTGCACCAACGCGCAGGCTAGCTCAAGATCATCATCAGCACCAACACCAAAAGAAGAGTAGAATCGGGATGGGGTTACCGCTCCGGTTTCATGGTTGACACAAGTCAGGTTGATCCTGGAATGGAAGCGAACACTCGGGGGCTTATCCGGGTAATCTTTATCACAGAAGAGCTTCAACTGGTAGATTCTGCCTTCGTGCACAGACTGCAATCAATACAAAAACCCGGCATCAGAATGTTTAATGTGGGCAGGAGAGGAGGAAGAAGCTTAGGAAATGGTGATGCCAGATTTGTAGGATACAACTCTCCTGTGTCAAGTATGACAGATCCACTATGGGATCAATGAATGCTGGGTTGCAGAGCACACTAAGAACTATACTAAAACGACGTTAAAACGATCATATAGCCAGTGTAAGAAAAGTAACATCCACTAGATTACTAAGTTATACCTTTAGGGAAATCTTTAAGGATTTAAAGACAAAATATGATGAAAAACGTAATCTAAACAGTGAGGCAAGTTGACCAGATCTAGCATGACTTTTTCCAAAGCTGCTAATCTCGATCGAACGAGTCGAATGCTTTGACTATTTCAGTCCTCATTCACGAGGCTGGTCAATGTCTACAGCCACAAGCTGACAACAAAGGTTGTAACAATTTTGCGCATGATCAACAAGCTGACAACAAGTCTCTCTGAGTTTAAACCGATGGACAGGTTGTTTTCTACCATACTTAATGGCGAGAAAATGCAGAACAGAAAAAGGAAATCTAAGTTAAACTCGTCAGGTACAAAAAAAGAAAGGCATACGTTGTGCGGGCCGACGATCGTCCCAGTCCAAGACCGCATGTAGATGTCGTCTCCATCGTCCATTCCATAACTCACCGTGCCATCCCCGATGCCCTTCTCACCACGTTCGAGCTCTTCCAGCAGTCGAAAGTTTCGAGGTACTGCAAAGTGCCAGCCAAACCAAGTTACAACATTCTCAGTTGGAACAACTAAGTTTCTTACTTCCAAGTAAACATGAATTGAGTTATGCTACTGAGATCATCAATCAATTAGGTTCGATCATGTCGCAGCCTTATGCTCTCATGCCCCATCCATACATCCAGCAACCACCGCCCAAGTGACTGCTAGAAATAGGACGATGCATGCGACTGGAGGCGCATACGTACAACGGTTACCTACCACCCATCGCAACGCAGCGATTAGATCTATGGTCAACGATGAACCACGCACACATCGGATCAGTCATATAAACAAACACCTCGGCGTCGGAGTTGATCGAGTGGTGTTCCGCACAAACAGCGATCAAGAGAATCATGAAGCAGCGGGAGAACATGAACACACGGTAAAAATGCAAAGAAGGAAACAGAGAGCTTCGGCGATCATTACCCACGACGCTCGATCTCCCGGTGCCGATCGTCATCCCTCCTCACCAACACCACGAATGTGGAGGGAGACGGAGGTGGGCGGTGGGAGTAGCACTAAAGAACGAGAGGTGGCAGTTGGGCACTGCTTGATATCCGATCCAACGGTTCTTGTTCGCCGTCCGGACCCCACGGCCGAGATTCCTCGCCTGTCCTTCTAGATCTCGCTCGTCCGTCGAGGATCGGACGGTTCGCGTAAAATTTACGCGAACATTTGCGCCTGGTGCTGTCCATTTCTTTTATCTTTTCTTCCTTTCTTTTTTCCCTATTTGTGATGCCCAGGTCCCACCAACGGAGATTGTGAGGGATTTGAAGGAGGTCGGTGATCGTTCTTGGTTGCTCGAGGTACCTTTTTCGGATTCGAATTCTGTTTCCAGTTAGAAGGCGAAATGTATTGCGGTCTAAACTCATCTGATGATGATGATGACGTTGGTGGGTTCTTTTCTTGCTACTATTAGGGTTTCGCGTCTGCAATTTTTACTCGATTTCGATTTTTGTTTTTTGATTCGAATTCTGTTTCCAGTTAGAAGGCGAATTGTATTCTGGTCTCAACTCATCTGATGATGGTGATGATGTTGGTGGGTTCTTTTCTTGCTACTTTTAGGGTTTCAGTCTGCAATTTTTACTCGATTTCGATTTTTGTTTTTTGATTCGAATTCTGTTTCCAGTTAGAAGGCGAATTGTATTCTGGTCTCAACTCATCTGATGATGGTGATGATGTTGGTGGCTTCTTTTCTTGCTACTTTTAGGGTTTCAGTCTGCAATGTTTACTCGATTTGGATTTTTTTTTTTCGATTCGAACTCTGTTTCCAGTTAGAAGGCGAAATGTATTCTGGTCTCAATTCATCTGATGATGATGATGATGATGTTGGTGGGTTCTTTTGTAGCTACTTTTAGGGTTTCACTTCTCCAATTTTTACTCGATTTGGATTTTTTTTTCGATTCGAATTCTGTTTCCAGATAGAAGGCGAAATGTATTCTGGTCTCAATTCATCTGATGGCGATGATGATGTTGCTGGGTTCTTTTGTAGCTACTTTTAGGTTCTTTTGAGCAGTTGGTTTTTTTCCTTCGATATCGAAACTCTCTGTCAATCATATGTTAGGTTATGATAAAATGGGGTTAAAATGGAGAAGTAGAATCAAGATTGATGATTTCATATTTCATGTTGGCATTGGATCATATAGGCTGCCTTCGCATCACGTGTGTTGACAAACGAGGCATCACAAGTCCACAACTGACGATAGGGTTTTGTCATGTCTAAATCCAAATAAACAGTATTGATGAATCTGTGTTCTTTTAAATTCGGCTTTCAGTTCTCCGCACAATGTGATTGTCTCCAACCAGCATGGCATGAGTATACATACTGGTAACAATTTGATGATGCAGGGCAGCATATATTCTTGCTTCTGTTTGTCATGCATACCACAGACTAGGGTTGAAGAGCCACTTGAAATAATTTGTCGTAAATGTTGTGCAATCCCTGAGGTCATTTTCTTAGTCTGGTGGATGTTAGAAATCCATTAGTACTTGTCTACGTACTTTCTCCTTCCATTCCTCTGTAAAATTTTCTTTTTGTAATTTTGTAGCATTGACCTTTTATTCAAGTGCTTGGGAAATTAAGTGAATCTTTCTTCCATCCGATTTTGTTAGATTCTTCCTCTTTTTTTTTTGTTTCGAGTTCTCTATAACCTGTATTCAATGTACATCGACACACACCCCTGCTTTAGAAGCCCTGAACCTAACTTTGACTATGACGACAGGTCATAGACAACTCCAGAATATGGGCCTTTTAATTTGTTATCCTAGTTTTTTTTTTCAATTGGTGGTCCATGTCTTCAAGGGAATCCAGAGATTGAAGTAATTTGGACAAAGATTAATGCCAAATACCACCTACTGTAATGACAAATATTAATTTTGGACAACAATTAATTGACTTTTCCATTCATCAAATGAATGGCAAACATCTATGGCTGCCACGACAACTTTTAGCCGACCCTTCCAATGATCATTACGGCCCATGCATTTCCTACCAATGATACATAAAAAATGCTTGTCATGCATTGTGCTTGTGTGCCCGAGATTTGATGCACTGCATCAATTTTGTTTTATAGTAGGTATTTTCTTTAGGACAAACATAAGGGATCCGCAATGAGTACATTGATCAGTGTTTATAGAACAATAGCCTTGTCATGTCCATTTTTGCCTGAAAAATATATATTAGTTACTTATAAAGAATAGTTGTACTTGTTTTCTTCTCTATGTATATTGTGATGCAGATGAAAGAATGCTAATAGACTATACCTTATTCTCGGAATACGTATCAATTGCAAGTGGCAATGTAACCCTTTATTTGTTTAGGTACTCTCTTTTCTATCGTAAATTGTTTTGGGATATTTAATATGCCATTTTTGTTTGGCCTACTTGTAAAAGATAATGGAAGACTTCATTGGGATCCATTTCAACTCAACTATTAATTAAATATACACATCACGACCAACTTGTATAGCTAACAGTTGACATGCATTACAAGCATTCGCTAATCTGCCATCATCTAGTGTCTACCTGACAGCTCCTCTAGAGCAGCTTATCTTCATTGCAATGTTGCACTCTTGAATGTTATTTATCCACCTTCTGTAGACCTAATAAAACATTTGCTGATATGAATGCTCTGACATGGCCCTTTGTGGACATGCAATTAAAGAAAGTAGTTGGTGTTTCACTTGTTTGTGTGACAAGGTGTTGTATATAATGCTTTCACATGGTGCTTTAAAATCCATTGTGACTGGAAGAATCAGCTGTTTTGGAAATCTTCCTTCTTTTGTTTCAAATAACTCCGCAGTTATGCATGTGGGTTTTTAACGTTGTTGATCTGTTGTTGAGAAGAAGGGGTTGATGAAAGATGAAGAAGAAACGATAGTTTGGTGACAATGATGGAGCACGTTTTAAGATGAGGATGCCTTCTACGTGGAGGAGCTGATCATGGATGTTCTGATTTTGATGTTTGTACTTCTTGACTTTTTCCTTATTTTCATGTAACTTTAAAGACAGGAGACAGGAAACAAAACTTGCACTTTTGGTTCTTATTGTGGTTTTTTTTTTTGAACAGTTCAAGCAAATCAACCATTCATATCAACATGAACTCCAACACTAGTGACGACTTTCTTGATGACTGGCATCAATCAGTGAAAGCTTGGAAGAGTTGGTGAGCAGGAGAAGGCACCCTTGTCAGCTGATGAGCAGGAGAAGGTGCCCTTGTCTGACAATCTATTGGTAAATATTATCTTACTTATTTCTTCTTCAAATTAATTGGATTCCAGTGGCTCTCTTAGTGTCATGCTTTAAATTTCTTTTGTCGATGGTTTCATTAGATGCATGGGCCAAAGGTTGCTCTGGGAAACATTATGGAGAGAATGATACATTATGTGTAGCAACAGTTTTATGATCCAGTGGCAAAAAGAATTCACTATTGCAGATGGTTGGACCATGGTGTTTGTGTACCATACTTTTCTTGTGTATTAAACCAAAGGATGTGTGGTGAGGGAGGCATACATTAGTGTATGTCCTCTGACCTTATCACTGTCATTATCCTCAACTGTCCCAATAAAACTCACATTTATTTGATTTTATTGGTTATAAATCCTATATAGTCTTTTCTTTCAATGCTTTCAACCACCTAACTTCCAAACAAGCACCATAGAACTCGAGAAAAATAAGCGAGCTCGATGTAGTTGGCCCATTTGTATACACTTAAAGAAGTGCTTGACCATTACTGGCCTCCTTTATAGTTAAATATGATAAACATTTTCCATTTTAGCCATATTATACAGTGAACACAAGCAAATTTTCTATTATGACTCTACTGATCTGAATGTTTTGTTTTCAAATGATTAGATAAGTGCTGAATCTATACTATAGCTTTTGATGGGAAACTTCGGGCTACTTAGGTTCACCCGAGTACACAGTCTTACGGCGACACAAGATAGTGATCTATAGAGAGGGAGAGAGGGAACAACAACAGCATGTAAGAGAGAACTAAACTAGGATCAATAAGGATAGAATCGCTAGGAGAAGATTGGAGAGCATATCACAAAAAGTGGGCGGCACCAGGAAGTGCAGCCACCATCAGCTTTTCCTGTTCCTGCTGGCAGTGGTGTTGCCCGGGGGGAAGTCGAGCAGCACCGTGCTCTTGCACCTGGGGCACTTGGGGTCCTTCTCCGAGAGCATGACGTACATGAGGCAGTGGGGACACCCGGCGAGCACCATCGAGGTTGCCTCCGGGCTGTTGGACTTCTGCTCACCCTCCGACGACACACACGAGCTCGTAGGTGATGTCGATGGTGATGACCAGGAATCATTATCCTCCTCCTCCTCCTCGATCACTGCCCTTGTTGACGGCCCCCCTCTTGCTCCCATCTGCTTCGCTGACAGGTTCAGCTTCAGGTCCACCTTCGGGTTCTTCCCATGATTGCGACTCATCTCCGCTCCTTTGGCAGAAGCAGTCAGCTAAGCCTACATGATGAACTAGAAGTGAATCATAGAAGAGTCATATATAAGAGTCACATGGTGGATGAGGAGTCTCTCCCAACCTAGCAAGAGCGTGAATGGTTCTTGGAGTCTAACCAAGGTATAGGATGATGGAGGAAGCAATCTTCCAAGGGTGTCCTGGTCTTATTTGCTGGGCTGGTGGTGTATATAATAAGGTAATTAAAGGTTGATGGGTTTTCTTTAATACAACAGCAGATTACTTTATTGTTTCTGTTGTTTCCCTCCCTCTTCTCTTGCATGCTTGCATTTTGTTCACCTGTTTTGGAGTATATGTAGCATTGAGAAAAGGGAAAAGCTGGAGGCTTTAATGGAACTTAAATCCTGGGTGGTGCAATTACAAGTTGCAGTTCTCTCTTCTCTCTGACATACACATTTTGAAAAGAATTGGTGTGGCAGAAGACTGTAGGTTCCTGTTAGACTAGGCACATGTGCAATGTGGGAATTCAAGCACCTTGTGCTTCGAACTGGGTTGGAACGGGTGGAAGGAAGGAAGCGGTTCCTTTCTTGCAGTTGAGTTTGGCTACCCTTGTAAATGAAGAGAAGATAAGGGAACAACAAGCCATGAGGAACTCATGCACAGCAAAATCTTTACAGATATACTTTGGGCATTCAAATCTTGCCTTTTGAGTTAAAGATTTTAGTCATGTCCACAACCATTGAGTGACTTCAAATTTCGTCAGTGAACCACAAAGTTAGCAAGTCTTTGTGTTTTGGTAAGTTCCATCGTTATGGTTCTCTTTTATACAAGTTCTTGACAGAACAGTAGTTGATATATATATATATATATATATATATATATATATGGTATTTCAATATTACATTTATGCATACATTATGACACTCTGACCCTTTGTCGCTGTGCTACTACTGTCTTGAGACCTCAGTCAGTGTGCAGTGACTTTAGTTGGATGGAAGTTTAGGGCTGTTAATAAATGGAAGTCTCTGCACTCCACTCTTTACTTTGACATTTTATATGTGTCATCTCCACTTCTTTCCACGGAATTCATTGATTATAAGCATCAGTGACTCCAATAGTTTCTAGCTAAGCAAGTAAATGGGAATAAATGACTTCTGTTTATCTCAGTAAATGGTCTTAAATGGATGCATTTACTTTTGAATAAATGAACTTTATTTCCAATCAATGAAACTCTACGGCGAGTCTGGTTCGCATCTCAAATCTCTCTGTAGACATGACATGATAACCTCGCACTAATTTTCATTCATGTAATACACCCAGTGTTTCTAGTTCATCGAAACATTCTTTAGCTTTTAACTGAGTATGTTTGTATGATGCTCTTTGAGGAAACAGATCAGAGAGTTCTGAGTCCTTTTAACTATGTGCTTGCTTCGTTATTTTCCTTGCAGATATCATGGCCAAGCAGCATCTATCTAATCAGAAGCTGGCGTTTGCAGCTGGAGAATTAGATGGTCTTCTTAATTTCCCCATCACCCTCCATGTTGTCATGCTGGAGCAATTTTAATACGCAGCATTCACAAAACCCACCAATATAAATGGTTCTGACTTGGGGCTAATGACTTTGTGATGAGTTCGGAGTTCAGCACACAGCACAAGGCTGTGCATGTGCTCATCTTTATTTCTGGTCAGGTTCATGAGGGGGACTTGAAACACCCACCAGGGAAGACAAGAAATTTAACAAAGCATTGATTGACTGAAAGCTGGAAAGCTTAATGGATTCATTATTCTCCAGCTTGGAGAGATCTAGTCTCAGAGCTCTTCAATGTACAGATTCCAGTTCTGGATGGGGAGTGGTGGTCAAAGCATATGTCTAGAGATTAAAAACAACTCCCCTACTTCTCATTCCCTATGTTGCCACTGTGGACTTATTTGACAAACGCAGCATGGCTTCTCTTTTTTCTTAAAGGTTAGGAATGATGTTTGCAAGATTAGCATTTGGAGCACAAGAGATTGATGAAATGAGGAGATCGATGGATTGCGTTTGAGCAGGTGAATATGAATAGCATTTCTCTCTTATATATAGACAAATTATAATACATGTCCTAATTGTTTGGGGTTGATTATTTGGGATTTTTTTTTTCCCATCAGAGTCATGTACAAGACGATCTCAAGCTTAACTCAAGTGTTATCATGAGTTATGATGGTTTCAACTTTGCTCACTCCTGGGGACATAGGAAGGATCAGCATCTGGAGAAACAGAGGATTAGAAACAGCTGGGTGACTTTGTCACAGTCCAACTCACTTCCTTATATCATGGAGTTTTATGTTGAAGGACTAGAGTCGGTGAGCTTATACAAGTAACGTAATTATACATAATTTAGGACAAACAAAAAAACAGAGGGTTAATGAGAAATGATGGAGGTGCCGTAATGTCCGACACTTGGTTTCTACCGGTGAAGGATTCAGAACTTAATTCAAGTGAGGATGTGAGCTTGCAACAGGTTGCCAAACCGCATTCATTCCAACCGGTAGCTGCTCCGCCTCACTCATCCAAAAAGCTCGCGTCTGCTGACACCGGAAAGACGAAGTGAGACTGGTGGGCATTAACAACCGATATGAATGAAAGCTGAAGCGGAAGTTTCGGGTCAACTCATGCACAGCAAGCAATAACTACAGGATGCAGAGAAAGAAATAAACACAGGTATGCAAGTTTGGACTCCAATGAAGAAAGCAAGATGCGTATTTTCTGGCATATAACAATATTAATAATCTAAATAGATTATGACCGAATTATTCAAATATATAAAATCTTGTAAATTTTTATATAATATTTTAATTTAATTTTTTTTACAGATTATTTCTGATGACGTGAGAGGATCATTTTATATTTATTTATATCTCTTGTTGGTGAACAAATATGCTGGGAGTCAGCACGGCTATGTTCATGGGCCGATATCGGGAGCTTTCTATGGGGTGATTCGGATGATGAGGTACTCAAACTCTCGGAAAGGAGTGTCGGTTGGCGTTGGTCAGGATCGGGGTTGATTGGCAACTCCTTGGTGTCGGGCGAGTCGCGCTCCCGTGCCAAGTCTTTCACCGTCGATGAGTGGTAGCTCTCCTGCAAAATGGCCTCCGTCGGATGGTACCCGACCGTGGCCTCTCCGACGAGCAATTAATAACGAGAGAGATTGCTCTTTTCCTTCTCTCCTTTTCTTTCTCCCTTGATCGGAGGCTAGCCAGGGGTTTTAAACTGTGGCACGAAGGTTGATGGTGCCACCGTAAGCCCCCAGGACGGGACATGTGGCGCAAGGCTCTAACTTGACGTGTTATGTTCGCTGTGATGTGTTCAGGCTGTCAAAATATATCATATCATTTCTATCCTTCACCACTCTTGTACTATCTTTATCATGTCAGATTTGTTTTTATTCACCTCGCCCTTACTCGATAAAATAGAGACCACAATAGCAAGAACACAAGCGCTCACTACAAAAGAGAAAGGAGGAGAGGAAGCCTACGAGCAAGATGGTTATTAATGAAAAAATTATGATTTTTTTAACATTAAGATATTTTGTGAGAATGTTTTTAAATATATTTTTTTTTAACTATAAATTATTATTATTAATTTTAAGGAGGAAATCTGGCGCCATTTTTAGTCTGCACGTTTGTTGATTTTAAAAACACCCATGTATCCGAAAGCGTTTTCTAGTTATCCAAAACAGTTATTTGATGGTTTACAACATGTCATAAATCCATTTAAAAATAAATAAATAAAATTGTAGCAAATTCAAAACGTTTTCTTGTTTCCCATCATTCAAAAAGAAGCGCCAACAGTGAGGCTTGTTCAAGAGCTGAGGGGATAGGAAGGGCAAAAGAATTCCATTAACTTGAAGCTTCGGGAGCGGACGGTGATAAGTCAGAGAGAGAGAGAGAGAGAGAGAAGGGGATCGATCTTCGAGAGGGGATACGACCCCGTCGCCTTCGTCGCCGGCCAACTCAGATCCTTCGCCGATTCCTTCTTCTCCTCTTCCTCTTACATGAGAAGAAGATCCGCGGACCTCAGGTAAAGATCTCTTCCCCGTCCTTCCACTCTTTCACGTTCTTTCCGATCCTTCTTTTTTCTCGATCGTGTCATCTCGACCGCTTTTGGTTGATTTCTTGGTCGTGATCGCGTCGCCTTCATGACCGGCCAACTCAGATCTGGCGCCGATTCCTTCCCCTCCTCCGTTTGCATGGGAAGAAGATCCGCGGACCTCAGGGAAAGATCTCTTCCCTGTCCTTCCCCTCTTACTCGTTCTTTTCGATCCTTCTTTTTTCACGATCGTGTCATCTCCACCGCTTTTGGTTGATTTCTTGGTCCATTTATCGTGCTCCGCATTTGATTGATTTCTTAGTCGTGATCGCGTCGCCTTCATGACCGGCCAACTCAGATCTGGCGCCGATTCCTTCCCCTCCTCCGTTTGCATGGGAAGAAGATCCGCGGACCTCAGGTAAAGATCTCTTCCCTGTCCTTCCCCTCTTTCACGTTCTTTCCGAGCCTTCTTTTTTCTTGATTGTGTCATCTCCACAGCATTTGGTTGATTTCTTGGTCGATCTATCCCGCGACATGTTACCTTTTGGTAGACAAGTTCGAGGGCTTGATTCTTGATTTCCAATTGGTTCCTTCCTTAGCTTCGTTCCCGATCTTAGAGCTCATGCACACCCCAATAGTGTGGTTCTACCTAATCGGAATACACATTGTAAGCTAGAATCATCAAACTACCCTTAAGTGAGCAAAATGATGAGTCCCGTAGATGTTGATTTAGATTCCCTTTTCTGTTCATTGGAACTCGTCAGAGAACTTTTCTGAACTTTGATCGATTTTATAATCAATATTTTATTGAATCTTTGTGGTGTTTTCCTGCGTGTAGAGGGAAAAAAAAAAAAGAAAAGAAGAAGAAACAGTTTACCAAAATTTCTAAAAGTAAAAAAAAGGAAACTCTTATATGAAATAGTGCTATCTTATGTTTTTGTGTTCGTCTCATGTTTGGAAGCATATCATCAACCCTTTGGTCAATTTTAACATTCACTTTAAGTACTACTTTATTTTTTTTAACTTGATTAACTACTTGTATATTTGAATTCTTTCTAAATCCAATTCAAACATCTATTTACTTTTGTGTCTATTCCAAGACTTTTATGTCAAATATACTTTGTTTAAATTAATTGAATTTAATGGTTACGAGAAGTAAACAAAAATGATTAATTGCAATCCTTATTGCCAATATGATTGTGCTTTTCTGGTTTGCTTGTGTTGAGGTTTTTCTGTAGCCCAAAGAATTCCCGTAAAGGGATATTGATGCAGGAATTATTCAATGTATCAATAACAAAAATATACTTAAATTTTTTGTCCATGTTTCTTGATTTAGAGAAACTGTTTTAAGAAACAGTTTTTGGAGAATGATGGCTATAACGTGTCACAAAACCAATTTAAGAAACAAGATATTAACTATGGTTGCATTTTGTAAATGTTTTCTCGTTTGCCCCCCATAAAAAAAAGTAGTAAACTCTTTTCCGAATGAATTCTTTGTCCATGTATGTCACTTTGCTTTTTAATTGATTTCTTTGACGTTTTCTGTCTTAACATGTTCTTCGTCATCGTCACATGACGTGGTTGGTTATTCGTTGTCCCAGATCTTTTAATAGACACGTTTGAGGGCTTGATTCTTGATTTTTTGAGTTGCAATTATTGGTACTTTAATCATTTAGCTTTCGTTCCCGATCTTAAAGGTGCTTCGCAGGATTTCTTTTCCTTCTCTAGCCTGGTGAGCGCATTAGGGAGTTGGTTGTACCAATCTGAAAACGTATGCAAAAGTTAAAATCATCAAACTTCCCTTTAGTAAGCAAGCAAAAGGGGGTGAATCCCGTAGATGTTATTCAAATTGCGTTTTCTGTTCATGCTTTGGAAGTTGGCAGAAATTCATGTTTCTTAGAGTGTTTACGTCTTCCCCAAAGAAGGGGGCACGACAAAGCATGAGCTTTGGAACCGTTCTTCATTTCAGGAATTTGTGTTTTTTTGGATGATTTGGAAGATACGGAAGCGTGAACAAAATGGTTCTTGGATGGCAGTAGTATTGTTATGATAGATTTCATTTTGGGGGGCAATAAAAACTGAAAGAGGAATTAGTCTCAAATTTGGTCCTTGGCTTTGCTTGGGTGATTTTGTCGAGTTTATCCTCGCTGCATGCTTTGTCTTGCCTGCATAATGTTGTGCTATATTGCGAATCTCATCTCCACCAAACCTGTCTTGGATATTTCTTAGATATTTCACTTTAGGATTTCCAAACAGATGTAGGGTCTTTTTTGCCTCAACACTAGTGTATTATTATAATTTTTGGTTGGTTCGAAGTGGTGTCAAAAGTGCCTAAACAAGTACGGAGTCTGGTTCTTATTATGTCAGTATGGTCACATTTTTTTTCTATGGATAAATTTGATTGGGGTGTGGTTTTTTCTATGGATAAATTTAAGGATTTTTCTGTTCTACAAAGTGCTTCTAACTAACTGTAATCTGAGAAATTTGTTGCAGCTGTTCCGCTAAGCAAGGAATTATAAATTTTAAGAGCCGCAATAAAGGAAAAATAAACAGCGTCGAACTTGTTTATCGAACTTGTTTAGCCAATGTCACATTAGTAACTTCTGTGGTTTTTCTCTCACAGGTCTGCGCGTTGTTTAGCCAATGTCACATTAATAACTTCTGTGGCTTTCCAAAAAAGGATTTCTTTTTTTCGATTTTTTTTTGCGACTTTCAAAATTTGCCCTTTCTGCTTCTACTCTACATTTTCTGTTCTATCGTTTTCGATTGTTCATATTTTTAAAACCGGTTCAAATAAATTCGGAATCAGCATCAAAATTTTATTCAAAAATCTAAAAATCAATGGAGTAAAATTTAAATTTTATTTTATAAATGTTGGATTTTTAAAAGTTGGATTTTAAAAAATAATTTATCGCAATTTATAATGGTTATATTGAAAAAACTTTTTAGATCAAGAAAATCTAATTATCTAAAAATTTTATTTCGAAAATGTCATAATTTTACAAGTCAAATTTTACAAAACAAATTTCATAATATTTTACAAAACAGATCTAAGATTAGTAAAATGTCATGTTTACAAATCAAATTTTAGATTTTAAAACGTTGTTGGATCATGCTTTGTGGAAAAAGACGAAAACGTGGCATTCTTTTGGCGATTCAAATTTTCCATTGACTTCCCACTTAGTGCGCCAACTTAAATGCGTCTTTTTAACCCAATCGATAAAAAAAAATAATTTAGAAAAAATACGGGTTCTTCTTGAATTTTATAGACAAAAAAGGATTATTTTTGATAAATATTAAAAAATATTTATCAAAAAATAGTTATCGAAAAAATATTTTGATAAAATATTAATTTATCTTAACTTATTTTGATAAATATCAAAACAACAGTGCGTTGATAAGATTGATAAACGGAAGTGTGTGTGTGTGTATATAATATATATATAGAGAGATATTTCAAGAAACAAATTCGAACCACCGGAGAGGGAAAAATTGAAAAGTTAATAAGAAAGAAAAGGATTTGTCGACTTGGGTGGAAAGGCAAAGGGAAGGGACAGTGGTTGAACAAAAAGGAAATCACACTGCGAGCAAGGCTCATGGTGCATGATTCTAATGTATGGCCATAAAAGAAATCACACTGTAATGAACAAACCTGCACCAAGCCTTCTACTCGTTGTCCCTTGTGAACGAACCACTGGGTGGACTAAGCTGGAAAAGCGGGGATCGAATGACACATGGTGCATGAGATATCACAACACATGGTTGCCCTGCTGTTTCCTACGTTTGTTGCATTCCCACTACTCCGATCATTCTGCAAAACACAATGATTTCCACGTACAGTAACTATTCAAGAAAGTTATCATCTCCTGCAGTATGGCAATATATTCAACCAATCATCCTAACGAAGTCTATTAATTAGATTTCCAAACTTCGAAACAGAGTGAATAAAAGGAGAGAAAGAACAGAGTGAATAAAAGGATTTAAAAATCATCTTGAATAATACCAATAAAAGCACAACAATGCTCATAGAGTACATTCCCAGTAAAAGTAAGGTTAGGCCAGAAATTTTTAGTTCCTTAAGGTCTCCCCTGGGTGTATTGCTATTGAGCAATACATTTGGTATACGCAATCATGCAGACCTATTGAGCAAACCAAAGCGTGTATTGCTAATCTACTACTGTCAGCAGAAACATTCGTAACAGCGGAAAATAGAAATACCAATTTCAACCAACAAACACTAAGTAAATGGCTCACTTAGATCATATCTAAGACGCTCAACCAATCAAAATATGAGAACTGCTCTCTGTGATCAATGAAGATAACCACATTGCAAGAAAATATTCCACCAATCACAGGCCTACAAATATGGGTCTTCTTTTACTTTCCTTTGCCTCCATTTTTACCACTTAGTAGTCACTACAATAAGCACTACCACGACGAACGTATTCGGCAAACAACAATTAAAGCAACTTAGATCATAAAACATCAAACATTAACACAAAGCAGTTATAAATCATAGGCAAACCCATCAAAATGAAGTCACGCTAAACCTAAAAAGAAACCTAATAAATCGCATCCAAATCAAGATTCCCAGCATGCGAAGGGATGAAATCAACCGTCCGATGGAAAGTTGTTAATCCAAAAAGCAAAGAAACAACAACCGATGAAACTTGTTGAACAAAAATACAAGATCGACTTGAAATCGAGAGGTAAAAGAGAATTTCAAGAACCGATGGATAATTCATGGCACTTAGCGCGCCAACCTAAATGCAATAAAAAAAATTAATTTAGAAAAAATACGGGTTGTTCTTAACTAAAATATTAAAAAAAATATATTAATTTAGCATTTTGATAAATATTAAAAATATTTAGCAAAAAATATTTTGATAAATATTAATTTCTGGCAAAACTTGGCTTCGACTAACTAGAAAACAAAATGACAAAAGACATTTGATGGCTCAAATCAACAGTGCGTTCGTAAGATTGATAAAAATTCGAACTACCGGAGAGAGAAAAATTGAAAAGTTAATAAGAAAGAAAAGGACAAATGAAAGGCAAAGGGAAGGGACAGTGGTTGAACAAAAAGGAAATCACACTGCGAGCAAGGCTCCTAACCGCATGATTGTAATGTAGGCCATAAAAGAAATCACACTGTAATGAACAAAGTTGCCCAAGCCTGGAAGAGGAAAACTTATACCTGCCACTGGGTGGACTAAGCTGGAAGAGCGGGGATCGAATGACACATGGTGCATGAGATATCACAACACATGGTTGCCCTGCTGTTTCCTACTTTAGTTCCATTCCCACTACTCCGATCATTCTGCAAAACACAATGATTTCCACATACAGTAACTATTCCCACATACTGCTGCCTGCCTGAGGCGCGCAGTATGGGAATATATTCAACCAATCATCCTAACGAAGTCTATTAATTAGATTTCCAAACTTCGAAATTAATTCCTAAACAAGTTACTGAAGGATTGTTATACTAAAGGAGAGAAAGAACATAGTGAATAAAAGGATTTAAAAATCATCTTGAATAATACCAATAAAAGCACAACAATGCTCATAGAGTACACTCCCAGTAAAAAGTAAGGTTAGGCCAGAAAGAAAAAGGTTGGCAAGCCCCACAATATCCAGAAATTTTTAGTTCCTTAAGGTCTCCCCTGGGTATATATAGCATTGCTACTACGCATCAAAAGCTCGGCACATGTCTACTACACTTCATTCGGTATACGCAATCATGCAGACCTATTATTGAGCAAACCAAAGCGTGTATTGCTAATCTACTACTGTCAGCAGAAACATTCGTAACAGCGGAAAATAGAAATACCAATTTCAACCAACACTAAGTAATGGCTCACTTAGATCATATCTAAGACGCTCAACCAATCAAAATGTGAGAACTTCTCTCTGTGATCAATGAAGATAACCACATTGCAAGAAAATATTCCACCAATCACAGGCCTACGAATATGGGTCTTCTTTTACTTTCCCTTTGCCTCCATTTTTACCACTTAGTAGTCACTACAATAAGCACTACCACGACGAACGTATTCGGCAAACAACAATTAAAGCAACTTAGATCATAATACATCAAACATTAACACAACGCAGTTATAAATCATAGGCAAACCCATCAAAATGAAGTCATGCTAAACCTAAAAAGAGACCTAATAAATCGCATCCAAATCAAGATTCCCAGCATGCGAAGGGATGAAATCAACCGTCCGATGGAAAGTTGTTAATCCAAAAAGCAAAGAAACAACAACCGATGAAACTTGTTGAACAAAAATACAAGATCGACTTGAAATCGAGAGGTAAAAGAGAATTTCAAGAACCGATGGATAATTCATGGCACAAATATAGGAGATCTACTTGTAATCATAAGGTAAATGAATCCAGAACCAATGAAGAGTCCCTAACCTAAAAAATCAAGGAACAATGGATAGTTCTTAACCCAAAAATTGGAGATCTACTTGTATTCGTAAGGTACAAGAATCAAGAACCGATGAAATAGAAGATCTGCTTGTGATCGTAAGGCAAAAGAATCACGACTGATGAGAAGTCCTTAACCCAAACAAATATAAGATCTACTTGAAATCGAATGGCAAAGAATCAAGAACCGATGGATGGTTCCTAACACAAAAGAATAGAAGATCTACTTGAAATCGAATAGTAAAAGAATCCAGAATCGATGAGAAGCCCATAACCCACAAATAGAAGAATTACTTGAAATCGAATAGTAAAAGAACCGAGAACCGATGAAACCCAACAATAGAAGATCCACGTGAAATCGAAAGGTAAAAGAATCAAGGCCGATGAGAAGTTTTCAACCCAAAAAATCGAAGATCTGCTTGAATTCGATAGGTAACAGAATCAAGAACCGATGAAAATTCCTTAACCCAAAAATAGAAGATCTACTTGAAATCGAAAGGTGGAAGAATCAAGAACCGGTGCAGCAGAAAGAACTAGTAGATCGAAACCGAGATAAAACGAAATGCCATCTTCCAATCGTTACCCGCACAACAACAGAGAGGCCAACGAAGTCAAGATTGCAGTAGCGAGATCCCCAGCTACCACCTCTCCCGACAACGAAGAGCTGTCCTTCGACGTCTTTCCGGCTCCGAGCCGAACAAAACAAAACGACAAAACGCTCGATCGGACGGCAAAAAGGCAAGCAAGACCAATTTAACAAGAAAGGGCGACGGCGTTTCGACCACACGCACCGACTGGTGGGGTTCGATGCCGAACTCGTTCGAGATGATGTGAGCGGGGGATCATGAGGTTCTCCTCCACGAAATGGTCGATCGGCTGGAAGACGGTGAGGTTCTTGGTGTCGTGCTGGTCAAAAGTTGAGCACCAGCGAACCCGTCTGAGCCACCCTGGCCGGCTTGCGGCAACAAAACGCTAATCAAGAACCATGACAACAAAAACAACTCGAGCAGGGATCGGCCGGAGAGGAGGAGAAGAAATGGATCTGATAACGCTCGTTGTTCTCAGATCCATTTCTTCTCCTCCTCGGGAGGGCTTGGCTTGCAACGGAGACATACTTGGGTAGTTCGCGATCGCCAATGGGGGGCAGCATCTCTCTCCTTGTTTCAGTTTGGAAGTCGCACATAGACCACATGACGAATGATGATTGATCGATGATTCTCTCTATCAAGTTTCATATTAGATATAAGAGATGAATCAAATTTACTATTACGGATTTAGACTTGGTCGATTGTTAATGTCTTGATCAATGTCTTTCTAGGTCAAATTGCATTGGTATTGGGTTGAAACTATACCAACTTATCGAAAAAGCCAATAGGCTTGGACTTGGGCTGAACTGGGTTCATTAGAAGGCCAAAACAATGGTCTTGAGCAGGCCTGGGGGTGGTACCGCTTAAGTTAGTCGACAAATACAAACAGTGCTTATTAGCATTACTGATAGTGGCATCACCTGGGGTGACGATGGTATCGCTCAGAATTCAAAAATTCTAATGATGTTACCACCCAAAAGTTCAAAAATATGATGTTAAAAATTACGACGGTAGTACCACCATGTGACAATGGTAGTACCACCCGGTGTTAGTGGCAATACCATCCATACCCTAAAATTTTCTATGATTTAAAAATTTTGACTTCATTTTGAAGCTTTTTGGGGCTTATAAATACCCATTAAGGCTTGGTTGATGAAGCATCAATTTCTGAGTTTGTGAAAAGTTGTAGCTCTCTCTTTAAGCATTGTTTGAGTCTCTTTTTCCTTGAGTTTATAAGTGATTTTAAGTTGTAGGAGGTGAGAGATATTGTAAAAGAGTGAGTATGGAGGTTTTCTTCTAAGCCTATTAAAAGGAGAAAAGCTGTAATAAGAGTAGTTGATCTTCGCCCATTGGAAAGAAGATCGATAATGAAAGCCGGTGGCCTCGAGGGAAGAAAAATCAGGAGTGGACGTAGGTCATGGAGACCGAATCACTATAAATTAGTTTGCATTCCTTCTCTTGCTTTTGATTTGTTGTTGCTTACTCATTTACTTTACTCGTAACCCTTACTCATATTTTTGGTTAATCATATTTACGATACAGATTTATTGATCAAAATTTAAAATCAGATAAAAAATTACTATAGCACTAATTCACCCCTCCTCTTAGTGCTATTACGATCGTAATAGTAAGTTGACACTCTTAACCTCAATCTATTCAAAGTGGGTTGACCTATAATCATATTGTATGTTGAGAGGATACCTATCATCATAAATTTAGTTACTATTATTTTGGAGCAGAGCTTATCTCCAAATGTGACGTGTAGATTCACAGTCCCGAGAGGTGAGATGAAGTCATTGGTAAACACTATTAATGAAGAAGTCATTAGGGTACGATTGTAGTTGACAGTCTAAGTTTTCAAAAAGGATCAATGTAAAGGATATTAGCAGAGCTACCTATGTTGATTACGGCCGTCTTCACCCTTACATTGATCATCCTAAAAGAGACCACTAGGGCATAATCATGATTTGGGTTGAAGTATTCTATCACTTATTTCTTGAAAGTTATTTTCGGGTTACCCTCTATTCTTATATGCTTTTCAGTGGTAGCTTGGGCATAAGCCTTATGGACTGAGGAGGTGTCTCCCTTCGAGGTAGGTCCACCAATGATAATATCAATCTGCCTCTCTACTAGCACCTAAGGTCAATGTAAGGGTTCCTGATGCTTTCAAATGAACCGCTTGAGATATCTCTAACGTATGAAGTCTACAATTTGCTCTATTAAGTCATGATAATCTTCAGTGTCATGGTTGTAATCTCAATGGAACTGATATTGTTTGGACCAACCTCTTTTCATCAATGGGTTTTTCATTAGGCAAGGGTCCCATAAGAGCTATTTCTCTTTTATATGAAGAAAAACTTCAGTTTCAGTCATTTTTAGAAAGTTTAGCTCGAACCTCGAGCGAGGAAGTTTGAGTCGTTCATTTCTCTTCTGCCAAGGTGATATGAGGGTTGAGGTTGATTATGGTCATTTTTGCTTCGGTCTTTTGCATGATTCCTCATGCTTGCCTAAGACTATTACCTCGATGGTAATGTATTGATTGACCCTTTAATTTATCTAGGATATGATCATCGATGGTCTCTCTATCAATGATCAAAGGAGACAAGAGGGCTTAAGCCCAATCATGAAAGGTATGCATTATGAGTGATAAATGAGCATCTACAACATATCAAATCTTATTTGTGAACTAAGTGATAAAGTCTATGAGCAATTTTTCCTCCCCCACCTGAGTTCGAGGAGTGTTACTATTGAAGGCCGAGGGTGCACATTCCCTTAGAAGTGAAGTTCCAACTCTCTCGCTAGCTAATTGTAAGAGTAGATGGAAAGTAAGTTCAGGTGAGTGTGTTATCCTCAGGCTGGGTCTCTTAGCATGGTTGGGAAGGTGCGACACATTAGGGTGTTCGAGATGCCATATAGTAACATCTGGATATGAAAATCTATAATGTGCTCCATCGGATCGATATTATCATCAAACGTCACTAAGGACAGGAGATAGAAGTTCACTGGATTTGGTTCCTCTTGGATTTTTTAGGTGAATAATAATCGATTAGAGGTTGGGTCAACTAGCACTTCCCCTTTTGACTATTAGAAATCTCATCACATATCCTCCAAACGTCAATCCACCTATCATAGTTGGATTCATAGGGAGTTTTTCATCAAGTTCGCTAACTAGGCCTTGGATTCAAGTATGATAAACTAAGGGTGGTGTGGTTTATTGAATTCCATAGTCGGAGATCGAAGTGTCCCCTCGATCAATGATTTGACAGGCCTTAGGCACTCCTAGGATGTTGACATCATGTCAAGTCATGGAACCTCGATAAGTGCCAATGGCGATGAAGCCGAGGACTATAGGTGAGCTAGCGACATCACTTGTTAGGCTAGTCAGGACAAAAGCAAAGGGATGGCCTATATCATGCTTATTAGCATCTACATTTGCTGAGTGAGATTTAAGAATACCTTGGTGAGGACGAGTATGTGGCTTATGGTTGTCCTTGGGGGTGAGAGACCTGAGTTATTTAATATGCACCAGTATATGATCGGTGTCTGCATTGATGTGGACGCACTAATGTGCAAAAAATGGTGGCTATTACCCCTATTGGGTGAAAGTACTATAATAGGGAGATAAAACATTTTCGCTCGAGCATTCATTGAGATGATTAGCTAGTGGGTATTCTTGCAATATCAAGTTCTCCTTCTAGCACAAAAAATATAATGAAAAGATTTCATTAACATCTTGGTTAGCCCAACGTGATTCTAACCCATGTGTGTTTGATTGTTTGAGATGTCTCAAAGATGGAAATGACAAACTCTCGATGTACCACCTACATGAAGACTGAGGTTAAGAGAGGTTTCCTAACCCATGCCCTCTGATGCCCAAGTTAGTAACTTAAGAAAGGTGAATGTAGTGATAAGCTATGGAAAGTGATCTCTCGTATAGTTGCACTAAAAATTAACTCTTATATCCGATCATAAAGAGATGAAATATTCTACGAAAAGACATCCCTCAACTACCTCCAATAGTTTTTACTTGACCTTTTCTCTACATAGATGACACGAGTAGAGACAGCATGTAATTATCTCTCTTCGTTTAGATGTCATACGAAGATTATGTATCAGATGATGATTGATCATTATATGTCAGATGATGATTAATCGACGATATCCTCTTTATCAAATTTCACATTAGATATAGACTTAGCATCAATAACCAATAACTTACTTCATGACAATAACAATCGATGCATTAATACAGCTGACGCGAGCACTCGCCCATTTGAGATTCTCTGAAACAAAAATTTCTCCCGTTTAACACATCATCCGATTCTTTTCTCTCATTTCAATAATCCGATTGATTTATAAATTAAAATATTAATACCATAAATATACTTTATATCAAATCAGATATGGACCTTTTATGACCTTACCACACAGTGCAGAGAATGAATCGAGAAGGATCACATCAACATTCCGGTGGCTTCTGATCACGTCAATATTATCCATAGAAATTTCAAGGAAACGACAAAACCACTCTCAATCAGTAAGCCAACGTCCTCATGTAGATAAGATTCTCTTGTTGGGTGCAGTGTCTAGCCACTCGCTGAAGGCTTTGGCTAAGGAGACTCGCAGTCGCACTCAGCGGTCAAGAGTCGCGCACGCGAATTAGAACGTCCCATCTTCCTTCTCTTTCGCCACATCAGAGCTCAACTGTCTTTTCCCTTTCTTCTCCCTTCTCACCAATGCCGAGCTTTCTTAGCACTGTTGACGGTGATAGAGGTGTTGAAATGTACAGAGACACCATAGTTTTCCTAATCAACCGACGCAAACTGCAATAGACTTGCAAGTTGGATCCAAAACAGCATCTGTTCGTGTAAACTACTTTATGCCGTGATCTCGGGGTTACACGGCTCGTTTCGGATCCGAATGGCGGAGATCCTGTTGAAGGTCTCTCGAACGTCCCGCGGGGTAGGGTCCCTCTCCACGGTATTGGCGAGGAAGTGGCTCGGTCTTCGTACCTGCACACAGGTCGGGTCGGAACTCGGCCCGACCCCTCCGACGATCAAGTCAGTGGATGGTGAAGGGAGTTTCTTTAGCTAAGTTGTCTCTCCCCCCTTTTCGTTTAGCATGGTAGACTCGTACTCTTGATAGTGTCTGACACTGGCGTTGGCATGGTGTGAAGGATTGAGCCGGAGCAGGTCGTTAATGCGCCTCAGTTGACGTTCCGGTTCGTTTGACCGGGTGCTGTCGGGTCAATCGAGGCGTGAGGCGTCATCTGGGGCAGCTGATGTTAGCCTGAGTCTTGCCGCCATTATTATCCTCATCAGCACCCATTTTTTCCTTCTTTGTTCAACCAAATGGGTCAACCACATGTGCTTACGTGCATAAACCGAGTCCGCATATAGCAGTTATATCCGGTGAGCTTTGACCTTCTGTTGGAGCCAACCAGAATCCAACTCCAGGTGGTGTGATCCGACACAAAAGGGAGTTCCACGTATCTCCGCTACTCGCCAATGGGAGACGATGTGCAGCATATGAGGGAAGGGACTGACGTTCGATTAACTTGTACTTTCTCATTAGAACAACGATGATGGGATCGTGTTATCAAACGGAACAATTAAAATGTGTGTGATCGATCCTTTTGCATGTTTTACTCGTAATCATATGTGACTATAATTTCAAATAACTCTTTATCTCTATAATAAATAAAGAAACAAACAAACATAATCCTAAGCTACACTGCACATAAAAGGTATTATATTCTACAAATATGATCGGTGATATGATTCAATTATTGGATCAAATCATATGTTACAACCAACGAACTCGAGTATTAATATAGACTCCATCCTTTATTCGCCCCTATTCTACATAATGTTAACAAACTATAGTCGTGATTACGACAATACGATAGATAATTCCCAACAACTGTCATCTTCGGAGCAAGTGCTGCCACGAGAACCACTCCTTGACGCCCATCGATGTCAGGTCATCTTCTCGTCGAGGCACCGGACGCCGAGAGCCATTCCCATCAGATGAAGAGCTGTGATGAGATGAAGACCTCGTTGCTGAAGCCGGAACGGGCCTCGAGCGCGGCACCTCGGCCGTTCTTCGTTCATCAGTCACAGCAGCAGCAGCAGGGCGTCGATCGAACGATCTGACGGACTCTGATCTGGTGTACACGCGACACAAGCTAACTTCCCCACGGAGCTGCAAATAAAGACGAAGACGAGGACGCAGATGCTTGCTGCACTTGGAGAATCCTCATCAAACGTGATATAACGAAGGTGATGATTACCTTTGCAGCTGCACTTGAGATGACGCCGGTGGCCCCTTCCTCGAGCGCTCTATACTCGTTCATCTTCCACTTCGTCTTTGTGCAAGCGAGAGGACTTCCTTGGTAGAACACCATGGTCCTCTTCACGCCTATGGCCCGGTTCTCGGACGAGTACACGAGGCTGGGCGAACCGGTGCCCTTCCAGTAGCCCGACGGCGTGGTGCGAGTCGGCCGCCCCCCATTGGCCTCTCGCTCCTGCCTCGGACAGAAGAAGAACCATTGCTCTCCGTCTCGCCCGCACGCCTCTCCCGATATTGCTGCAGGAGATCAAACAAGGCGCTATTCCATTGAAGAGGACATGCATGTATCTGCAACACACGATGAAGCGGGACAGAGGATGTTGTGCTCACGTGGAAGCTGCCATGGATCGCAGCAGTATACATCGGCCACAGGGATGACCCGTTCCATGTCTTCTCTTCTGTTGTTGAGCTTGTTTTGAAGATAGAAACCGATCAACTCTTCTTCCGTCGGATAGAACCGGAACCCTAGCGGGACGGTGCTCGTCATCTCTTCGCCGATCAACCTGAGCTCTGGAACTCTTCGCTGCTTGCGGGGGCTTTTGATGCTTCCCAGAATGAAAGAAGGTTTTCTTCGCTTCACCACAAGGGCTTGTGTGGATCATTTATACATTGCAGGGTTTGGGTGCGTGAAGAGAAGAAAAGGTAGAATGGTGGGGCAAGATATGTGGAATTCAAATAGCACGGTGGAACTTTAGCTTATGAGGACTAGATGACAAAGTCAACCTCTTCCAAATTCTCCTCCCGTAAGGTCCAGTGTTCAGACACGAATGCTGTAGTGGTATATTTCAGACAAGAATGCTGTAGTGGTATATGGTATATTGTATATATCGTACAAGATACAATATTGTACTTATATATTTTTTAGAGAAACAAAACTGTAGGAAGTCAATTGTTCTTCTTTCTATTTCCCCTTCTTTTACTCGGGGAGTAGTATTTGTTCTCTTGGATATCACATGCACGTAAAGAAATTTTTGTACAAAGTATGCTGTGCTGTAAATTCGAGCAATCCCTAAACAGTTGTTCTAACATGAGACTCGTTGATTTTTCCACGCGCAGGTAGTCGATGACCAGTCTTTAGTGAAGTTTATCTGCAATCAAATGGGGGCATTTTCCTCTGCCTATCATAGGTGCGGGACAAAGGAACCAACCTTTCTCTCCGTAAGCGCGTGATATGTCAGTAGTAGACTGATGGTTTGTAGGGAGACGACGTCGTTCTCCATCGGAAGATTCAAAAGTGGGTACGTGCAGGCCCCCCCTTTACCTTTCAAGCAGCAAATGCTGTGACGCCATTAGTAACTTTAAATTAAAGTTAAAGTCTAGTTTGCCTAATCTGTTATCATCTCTATACAAATTTACTCGATCCAAATCATCATATCGTAATGCTCCAATTATCTGGCTCATCTTTTCCTCTGTTTTCGAGACCCATAACGAAAATGAATAAGCGTGTGTGTGTGCATATGTCGTATCTTTTACTCAGCTAGTAGCTACCTTAGATCACACGTGATGTTATTCTAGTCAAAGTAGCGTACATATCTTAAAGAAGTGAGAAATAACACAGATCGATTCAGGAACTACGGTGTCTTTAAGCGACATAGTCCAACTCAAAAGTGATTCAGCCCGACTCTAAGGTGATGATCCGAGAGTGAGTCGTTGGACTTTGGGAAGAAGAGGTGTACATATGATGATCCGAAGGCGAGCCATTGTGCTGGGGTTACCGACTGAGTCAACTGAGGGAGAAGTGGGGTGATAGTTTACATCATGCTGGTAAGAGTCTGAACTCGTTGAGTGAGGTTGAAGAATGCTTTTGATGGGAGGAGCAATGGGCTTATCTCTAGTCTTAGGGGGGAGAGCCTTGGATCGTTGAGTAGGTGTTAGTAGGGCCCCGGTGCTTGGGTTGAGGCGGAGGCATCATTCTGTTGAAATGAGATACGTGTCTTCTCTTCCCGAGGGGGCTTGGAGCCGGAGATAATGTCTCTTTGCTTGAATATTCATTGGAAGGAGTAACAGAAGGATGTGTCGCAACATTCGACCCTCCTTCTAGTGCAGGAATGATAGTGTCATGAGTACTGTCGACTGGTAAGTTGCTATGGTTAGTTCACTGTAGAAGGTGCATTCTCATACATGTGCGTCTTCCTTGCTGATGTGGGAGGCTTGATGAGGTGAGATTGCATAGGCTACCCAATCATAAATCGTTCTGTTGGTGTGGACTCGGTTTGAGATGGTTGGGTAGACGAATTGGGATCTTCCTAGTTGCAAAGTTCCTCCCTATGGGCTAGATCGTCCGGATGTCTTCTGACGATCGACGATTCTGCATGACAGGTTGGTGCCGAGGGTTGCCCGGCACGACCCCTCTGATGCTTAAGTTAGCGAAGGAGAGAAGACAACATTGTAAGCCGTATGATTGAGTTAGTGTGTAGAGAGCCCCCCTTCAGCATGAGCTAATGAGTTTCTTTTTATACTCGATACCTGGGCTTCTTATTGGTTAGCCTGAAATAAAATCAAGTTAATCACATGATCTTTTTAATCTCCGATCTTGATAAGATAGAATGATTATTAAATATGATGGTTATTACGAATCATTGATACAGAGCACATCGAGACATACTATGGTGTCATTTTGGGGCTAATGACTTCGAATGTCCACCTAACTGACATGGGGTAAAATCGTCCCTATCAATTGTAATGTAATTGAAAAAAATAATTACATAATAATATACTTCATTCTATTTTGTAGTTACAAAATAAACTTCAGATTGCTTTGATTTTGGAGTCGAGCAGAACTAAATAATACATATGTAAAGGGTTTTTGCCAAATCAAGCGGATAGTTAAGATGGAAAGGAGGAGTGGGATCGACGGTTGGTGATCCTCTCATCAGAGCCACCTTACGTGTTCGGATTTGTGGGACGTGTATCTCCGGTCGGGTCCGCAAACTTGCGCGACTCCGGCGGGTTTGGGTCCTCTTCGGCTTGAACCCGTACCCGATCCCTCGCTCCTGGTTGGAGCAACAATCCAACTCGAATTCGGATCTCGTGCGAAAAAAAGGTCCGAAAAGCAGGGGCAATTTGGACAGTTCATTGATCGATCAAGGAATGGAAACCCTGAGAAGCCGACAACGGTCTTCGAAACGGTCGCAAAACGAGGGGGGCGATGGCGGGGTTTTCTAGTCGCAGAGAGGAAGAAAGCGGCGCTGGGTTGAGTAGGGAGAGCGCGTGAAGGATGCAGATCTTCGTGAAGACCCTCACGGGAAAGACCATAACCCTAGAGGTCGAGAGCAGCGACACGATCGACAACGTCTAGGAGGGTGCTCATCTTCCGATCCATCTCTTCTTCTCCTTCAGTCCAATCGGATACTCTTTTATCGTCTTATTTCTTATTTTTAATGTGATATTTTTAGGGATTCCGCCGAATCAGCAGAGGCTGATCTTTGCAGGGAAGCAGCTCGAGGAAGGACGGACGAACGCTCGCCGACTGCAACATCCAAAAAGGTTTAAATTTTACGATCTTGTTCCTTCTTTTTCATCTGGACTTGGGAGTTTTAGGATTTTTGGCATAAGAATGACGCGCGATTTGTGGTTTGTTCTGGTGTTCTCCAGAGTCGACGCTGCATCTTGTGCTGAGGCTGAGGGGAGGAATCCTCGAGCCTTCTCTTATGGTTCTTGCCGGGAAGTACAACCAGGAAGAGATGAGCTGCAGAAAGTACGCCTGCATTTTCCACTCTTATGGATTCCATTGCTTGATTGTGGTTATGAATTGTTTTTTGATTGAAGATCGAAACAAAATTTGAACTTGTCGATCGACGGCTTCGATCGAGTACGATGGAACCATGGGTCCAAAAAATCGAGTCTACTTAACTTTGTCAGCTGCCTTGTCTATATATTTGCAGTTGATTTTGACAGGTGGAACATGTTCTTGGATCATCTGTTGGCCATCAGAAGTAAGAATGACACAAGTGATTCCAAAGTCCCGCAGTGTTTATAGAAGACATAGTCTCATTCCATAGTAAGAATTTCTTAAATGATAATAGCTTCTCTTTCTAACATATCAAAATGGCTCTACTTGTGTACTTTGTTCTATTACTTACTCGATTTCTTGATCTATTATTATGCACTTTCTCTTTAGAATGTTGTTTGTTAAATAGCTTCTTATCTAACTTGTAGTTGTGTTACCTATTGTCTACTTTGACAGAGCTTCTTTATCATGTCTGTCACCCATTTCGAGTAGATCATTTAGTTATAGTTAGCAACACTGCACCAGATATCTTTTTATTTTATTTTATTTTATTTTATTTTATTGAGGTTTATCATCTTGTTTTTGCTCTTTTGGTTTTTCTGAATTTTTTTTTCCTGCACATTGTGGTTTGTGGCTCTGAAACTTGGAGCTGTTAAACTTGAAAATCTGAATGTCTTTGTCTGAGAACAAAATCAATCACTTTTTTTTTTTTACTTAGTCTTTTACAGATAATTATTTAATTTTTATTATTTTCTGTGTTGTTTTATTATCAAATTTATTGTGAAATTGCCTGGGAGGGATGATGAATCGATTAGATGTGCTAAGAAATTCTCTTTCTAATGAGCTAAACCTTTGAGGCATGATAAAAATTCTGACCTGTTTATGGCAATTGTGGGTTCTTTTTTGGTTGATCTCTTTGTTCTTAATATACAAACTCCATTAAGTTGCTGCTAGCATCACTATACTTTGTTCAGGAATCTGTTAAGGTACAGATTCACAGTAGAGCCCAGCATTTAGATGCATTTCTGCTGTCAAATAAATTGACCTTGATTTTGTGCTCCTTGATGAAATCTGCAAACCTGCTTGACCTGTAGTGATATCAGCTTTGCAAATTATTTTTATGCTTTCATTGATTTTGTTCCAAGGATGAAAGCACATCCTTTGAAACAATTTCAGTTAACCTTTTTAGATGCATGCTTGAGAACTACCTAATTCTATACGGCTAATGGCATATGATATAATTAGTGACAACTCCTTTATTGAATTTCTGCAACCAGAAATTGCTGAACAGGATTTTCTTCAAAAGGTTTTATTGGTCAATTGTTGTACGAGTAAGACTTGTGTATCCATTTTGTTGTATGATGCTTTTTTGCGTCTATGTTGTTTCGTGATGATGTTGCCCAGGAGGTGATGTTACTAATCGTTTGTTGGCTTGCCCATTTCCACAGGTGATATGCACGGTAGCATCCAAAGGTCTCTGTTTCAAGATTTAACGTTGCATGCACGTTTAGCCTATATGACACAGTTCGTCAGGAGACAAGAAACAATCCGTGTGTGTGTGTGTGTGAATTCTTTGGCATCGTCGAGTCTTTTCCCGTGTGTCTGTGTGTGTACACAATATTGTTGACCCAAGAAACAATCTGGCTAGCTAGATTAGTCGCAGCAGCAGATGATATGCAATATTGTTGACCCAGGAAACAATCTGGCTAGCTAGATTAGTCGCAGCAGATGATACGCAATATTGTTGACCCAAGAAACAATCGACACTCATGACCCAGTGGTCTCCGAAGGGGAAAGAGTAACATAATTCTTCCACAAAGGCTCGTGCCAGAGAGACGTACTTGCAGCACCAGCTTCGATCTTCCGACCGGTGGCAACATCGGTCGTGAATGCTGTAGCAATTGTGCTCTCTCATCATTGCCATAGATTGCACTTCCAAAAGCAGAAATGGCACTGCAGGGCTTCGACGCAGAGCATAGATCGCTTGGGGAACAAAATCATGTCGATGAATCCGACTTCGAGATAGCCTTTGATGATGAATGATAGCACAGGTGAACAGGGTTGGTGTAAAGAATTCTGCCGAGACGCTTTGCTCCGAGAATTCTGCCATGGTGGCTTCACACACTCGAATGCCAGCAACGGCAGTGAATCGGCGGCTGCTTTGCTCCGACAGAAGTGGTGTTTTCCGGAAGGATGATGTTGGTGTCACCTGTGAAGGCAAAGCGAGAAAAGATCAAGACTAGCAGTAGGACAGACAAAACATTGTAAGAATATTTAGAAGATCAAGACTAGCAGATTTGACAGGTCAACATGCACTGATAAATCAGAGAAACCATGCATTGCAGTCTGTGCTAATGTACTTTTAAAACCTATAATGCTAGAATTTAGATTCCCTCCTTCCCTTCTAATGTAGTAAATATATCTGACATTTCAGCAAATAAAATGTTTGTTTAATCATGCTTTTCAGCAATTAGATCTCTTTCTTTCTGTTCAATAAGGAATACAAGATCCAAATTGGGGCATAACAAATGATACGTACCTAGCAATAAAAGATTTGTATTACCTTACGTTGTCACATGCTCATCATCAAAAACTGAACCAGAAAATGAATTTACCGATATCGCAGGTTCAGTCGATCACCAGTAATCTCCGCAAGAACAAGATCCTCCTCCGTTGAAGTGGTGAAACCTATGCGCATCCCGAACTATAATCTCCCGATCCATGACAGATGATGCCAGCTTGATAAATGTGTGGCAGTCTCCACAGACTCTGAGGTTCTTAGTTATCCTTAGTGTTGTGCTCTCGGGTGTTGCAAATAGACCGAATGCAATCGCTAATTTCTCGCTGTGGGTGTATAAAAAGCCAGCTTTAAGTTCCTCATCTATGTCATGAAGCACAAAGTTTGTATCAGGAACATAACCAGCCGACTCCAACTTCTCGATCAACACCTTCAATGTCTCATAGATCTCCTTTGATCGTGGATGGGATTTGTCACCAACTCCGAAGCGATGAGTCTCCTTATTAATCTCGATCCATGTCCAGCCAGGTTTCTTCCTCAAACTCCTGCTGGCCATCAAATCCCTTACCTCGGCTACATCTTCCCACCTACCAGCATTGGCATATATATTGGAGAGCAAAACGTAATACCCAGAATTTCTTGGACGCAACTCAAGAAGAGATTTTGCAGCCTTCTCTGCTAAAACTGCATCGCCATGAATCCTACAAGCTCCCAGAAGTGCACCCCAAAAGCCTTCGTCTTTTTCTAGTGTCATCTTCTCAGACAACTCAAGGGCCTCATATAGCTTACCTGCTCGTCCAAGAAGATCCACCATACATGTATAGTGTTTCACATCAGGTTCGATCGAGTAGTCTCTCTCCATCAAATGGAAAAACTGCCTACCCTCATCAACTAAGCCTGCATGGCTACAAGCTGACAAGATGGAAACAAAGGTAATCCTATTGGGCCGAATGCCGCTCTGCAACATGAGGGGAAACAGGTCGAGGGCTTCCCTGCCACGACCATGAATCCCATAAGCCGAGATCATTGAATTCCAACTGATGACATTCCTATCCTTCATCCGATCAAAGATCACCCTGGCATCATCGGCGCTGCCGCACTTTGCATACATATCGATCAATGCCGTTCCCAAGATTACATTCAATGAGAAATTCCAGCTCGATATGTAATCATGGATCATCTTAGCTTTATGCATCACCCCCAGCTTCGCACAAGCAAAAGCGACAGTCACTGTGGCTATCTTATCAGGAACAACACCTTCCCCCCTCATCCTATCGAACAACGCTAGCGACTCCTCTGGGTTTCCGCACTCTGCATAACCAGACATCATGACCGTCCAAGTCACCATATGCCTCTTTGGCATCCTATCGAACACCTTCCGAGCATCGTCAACATCACCACACCTCGCGTACATATCAACGAGAGATGCCGAGACAGAGAGATCCGACTGCAGCCCAGCCTTGAAAACAAGATGGTGGATCTCGACACCCAGTCGAAGAGACACCGTATCCCGGCACGCCCTCAGGACGAAAGGCAGAGTGAAGTTATCTATCCGCAAGCCCGAGCGAACAAAATCCCGAAAAGTTTGCAGGCAATTGGCATAATACCCAACCTTCACAAACCCGCCTACGATCACACTCCAAGACACGTTGTCGCGTTCCTTCATCCGAGAAAACAGAGCGTACGCGTCGGCTAATGCCCCATGCTGCGCGTAGATGTACACGTGTTTGTTTGCTACCCCGAGGTTGTCGATCATCGCTGCTGTGGTCGCCAAAGCGTGAACCTTCTTGATCTCTGCCGGAGATCGACATCGCACGAGGGCCGAGACGAAAGATCTTGGATGGAGGGGGGCGGGAGAGAAGGGGGTCTCTTGCGCCGCGGATTCGGTAGCCGGAAGAAAGGGGTCGAGGACGGCGGATAAGGAAGCGGCAGAGGAGGAAGAAGAAAAGAGGTATTTTTTCGCTTCCAGGGAAATGATGGAGAAGGCTGAGCGTTTGCCCTCCAACATGTCGGTAATGGCCGCTGGAGGAGCAGCCGGAGGCCGGGTAAGCACGGTGAGACACAACACGACTTACGTGACGGCTCCGAACACGATCCCACCCACCCTCCCGCCTGGAGTCGAGCCGCAACCCGTCTTTTGGCGTTCGTAATCGTGACTTACGTCATGGCAAGTCGTTCCATCCGAGAGAAGTTTACGAGCCACGAAGCCGTACCTTTACGCACTGAGGAATTCCACGTGGAGCGAGATGGTTACTTAGCGCACTTCTCTGCTGCGAAGGTAGACGAGTGGGGAGGTAAACCTGGGTGTCGAGTGGCTGTCATTTTCTCGTCGCTGTAATTTTTGGTTTCTTTTAAGGTTTAGTGCTAGAGAAGGGATCCCAATGGCTTTGTTGGTGGCCGAGATGGGAGGAAAGACCAAGGGACCAGCACAGAAGCTCTTCCCACTCTTCTTCTTCTTCTCCCTCCTATTGGTTTTGTACGAGATGCAGTCCCTTGACACAAAGGGCTCAGGTATTAGTCTCATGTCATTCGATTCCTTCTGTTGTTTCTTGGTAAAATTACTTTAATACAGTCCCCAAAGAGCTTTCGCTTGCAAAACCGAGCCTCATCAACCTCCGTGACCCATTTGCTGCTTCCGTCTGCTACCATACTTGTTCAGTGGTCAACACAGCAGCAGCAGCAGCAACAACAAGTAGTGGCACATCATCCAGTGGTGGTGGCGGACACGGCGGTTCATCGTCCGGCGAAGCCGGCAACGGAGACTCAGGCAGCAGTGATTCTGGTTCAGGTTATGGATCTGCAACATATCACCCGAGGAACGATGGTGGGTATCATCACAATCGTAGGAAGAATGGTGGAAGCAGCTGCGGTGTTTCCCTCCACGCCATGCTTGCTGCTTTTGCGTTCTTAGCTGCTGCTCTGACTCCCTGCGGATAGATGTTAATCTCTCATGGCATACGGATCCAAAGTGGTTGGCGTGTGCAGGGTTCCTCATTACTATATATATATGTGTGTGTGTGATGTTGTGTGAAGGTGAATGAGAAGAAAAGCTGATAAGAATAAATACGAAGAATAAGCACCACATTTGAATCGATGCTACGAATGAGATTCTACGCTGACGGCTCTTAACAAGGAATGTCAACATCTCTTGTTGTCACCTATAACAACGCTTGGAGGAGATGCTACGTCGCCGACTCTGATTGCTGTGATCATTGAAAGAATACGAGCTGTTGGTGTTAAAAGATTAATTCAAATAGTTAGGATTAAACAAAAATAAAAGATAAAAATTTAGATTTAAATAAATCGATGAGGGTGAAAGATTTATTGGGATATGAATGATTTTTTTATATTATTTAAAAAAAATATATTTTACTTTTTAATCAATAAAAATAAGTGTTTTTGGATCAATCCAAATCAGATTGAAAGTACTCTTAGTTTATTCTATTATTTTCTTCTCTTTTTCTTTAAATTTTTTAAGAAAAATCAATAGTGTGATATCAGATTCAAATAATATCAATAGGAGTACATTGATTAAAAAAGTAGATCCTTTAAAAAAAGAGAAAATGACAAACATTAGAGTAGGTGTTTCTATTCAACTTCTTCATATGATGATAATTATCAATTTTAGGCTATTAAGATGAAAACTCTATTTATTTCACATGAATTATAAAATTCGGTAGAATATGGTTTTGTTAAATTTGATCAATAGGATCCTAATATTGCTAAAGTCAAAGAAATAGGATGAATAAGAACATATAAAAATATGTAAGAACCCTCTACATGCTACAACAAGCAATAGATTATTTTTTATTTCCCTTAATCATGATGGCATCAACATCAACGGAAGCATGCAAAATATTAAAAAATATATTTGGAGGCATAAATAAGATAAAAATTTTAAAACTTAAAATTATTCAACGTAAATTCGTAACTCTTAGTGGCCAATCAAATAAGGGTCAAAGGAACTCGAATGAAGGTAACAAAGAAACTCGTCGATGTTTTTGTTGAAAAAAAAAGATTTGTTGGTACAAAAATAAAAATCTAAATATTCCTCTCTCCTCTTATCATAAAAAATATGATCATCTTGAAAACGATTATTGGAACAAAAATCAAATAAATTATTATAAAAAAAATAAGAAAATATTTTCTTTATACTATATGACGAAGAATATTCTAGATCTGTTTGGTTTTTGGATAATGGATGTAGCAATCATATGACAGAGGATAAAAGTTTATTCCAAACACTTGATGATTCAGTCAGATCTATAGTACAAATTCAATTGGAAAGAAAAGAAATAATTACTGTGAATATCAAATTTGATAAAAAAAAATTATTACTGATGTGATGTTTATTCTTGGTTTAAAATAAAATCTCATTAGTATAGGGCAACCAATGAGAAAATGATATTATGCTATTTTTTTGATGAAAAATACTTGATTTATGATAAAAAAAAATTAACAGAAATTGTGAGAATGATAAAAAATAAAGTGTTTCCCTTATTATTTTCATATTTCTCTTTACATGCTACTGTTACTGATAAATCGATATTATGATATAAAAGTTATGATTATTTGATTTTTTTTATCTATACAAACTATCTCATATAATAAATCCTTCACAATTCAAAATCATAAGATGTCTCAGAACAAGGCTAAAATTGATGAAAGTTCGATTGAGAATGATGAGGAGCCACAATTAAATAAGCAAAAAGTTCTGGATTCTATTCCATCTATCGTTGGTAAACCTATTACAAAGGCTACCAAAAAAGAGATCAGCAACAGTAATAAATATGAGGATGACAACTTTGAAAAAAATTCTAATGATGAACATTCAAAAGGACATCAAGCTAAGAAGTTTTAAACATCAAAAGTTAATAATAGTTCTGGCAAGTCTTATAAGGAAAGTGAAGATAAGCAATCAATGTTGAATACAACATCGAAAATCAATTTGTCGATATTTTCACAAAAGCTTTAGCGAAAGAAAAATTTTTATTCCGAAGATAACTTCAAATTACAACAAATTATTTGAATTAAGAGGGTGTATTAAGACTAATTCAAATAGTTAGGATTAGATAAAATAAAAAAAAATAAAAATTTAGATTTAAATAAATAGATGAGAGTGAAAGATTTATTAGGATATGATAGATTTTTTTTATTATTTTAAAAAACTTATATTTTAATCAATATAAATAGTTATTTTTGGATCAATCCCAATAAAGTACTCATAGGTTTTTATACTATTCTCTTCCTCTTCTCTAAGTTATACAGAAAAATCAACAGTTTAATACGTGTAGAGTTCATGTCACAAAGGTGTTACAAGAGAGATTGGGAGAGGGAGTTATATATGTTGGAGAGAATAATAGGGAGGGAGGGAGGGAGGAAGAGTACGCGAAGAATAAGCTTTTTATAGACGACGATGATGACCGGGAAATATAAATAATATTCTTAATTTTTCATTTTCCCTAAATTGTCGAGGAGCGAAGGGACATGCAATGCCGTTGGCAAGGGGTGAGTAGTTGTGGTTCCACATGTCCCAACACCCCTCGTTTCCCTCTCCTCTATTAAGTTTTCTTCGTCCGACAACAGCCGCGCTTCACCGCCTCCGCCTCCGCCTCCTCCTTCTCCAACCTTTGTTTCTCTTGCCTTCGTGCGATGCCGCACGAGATCAAATGGATCCATGGGCTGAACTGAGAGAGATCTTAGAACAGCCACAGCCGGATAGATCGGCGCTGGTGCGGTCCGTCTCATGGGAGGGGATCACGCCGGCGGTTCCGATCTCTCCGTCCATCGGAATGTTCGGCGACATTCACTTCGCAGAAACACCCCAGCCGTCCAGCATCCCTCCCCGACCCAATTCCCTCCCTTCGACTTCATCGGTGGCCATGGCAGCGAGATGGTTGAAACACGAGGACGCTAAAGAAGGCGACGGCCTCTCCCCCAAGAACTCGGCGTATCTATGCACCGAGGGGCTTGGCTTTGAGAACCTGCAGGATGCTGCCGACCCGACAAAGCGATCGATGGGAAATGCAAGTACACTGAGAAGGAAGGAGAACAAGGAAACGGCGGTGGGACAGCCGTCCATGGCGGCAATGGGGCAGAGACTGTACGTGAGGAGCCATTCGGATATTGGGCTCACGGGCGGGGAAGCAGTATTCCCACCGCCAATATCCACCATAGGCAAAGGTGTGAAGCCTTGGGTCTACCTTAAATCATTCAAGAAAGATGGAAGACTTGTCCTCAAGAAGATAAAGCTCCCGACACAGCAGTGCTTGCAAGCCACCAGGGAAAATGGCCGACTACTCTTACAGCTAGCTCATCCGACCAAGCAAGACGAGGAGGAAGAGGAAGAGGACGAGGAAGAGGAAGAGAATGGTTCTGGAAACGGAACTAGGGATGAGCCTTTCTGTATCTCATTGTAGTTTAGGTTGGCTTCTCCGTTGCCCATACACGGCTCGTAGGTTGATATGCATTCTGCTGCTTTTGACTCCAATTTCTTGGTTGTTTGGAACGTAAAATCTTGTGCAATGTGGGAAACAAGTTATCATCAACTCAGTGTTTAGTTCCTTTCATCTAACACAATGATATACAAAAGAGTCTGAATTGGTTTTACTTGTTGTTCAATACCTTTTGTCTTTCACTTACAACTTCATTGACAACAAGCATGTCCAACCTTTGACTAAATGAAGATACAATGCAGAGATAGGTAATTGATACTTGTAAATCATCCACCTTCATTAGGAGCAACTCCTTCTGGTTCAATTCTCGGTTAGATCTACCAACAAAGATTCGAGGTCAGCATATTACATATTATCCAATCAATCATTAGTTAGATGCCTTAGGTATCATTCATTCTCTTGACACCAAAAATTAAAAGGATTAGGAGTTTTTCGATTCAAATGCTCATCACCATCCACCATCATTTTCAATCTTCTGCCCAATTATAGCCCTCCGTACAAATCAACAAATTTAGAGACACGAGTAGAGAGCAAAGAGTTGTTGATTAAAGCTTACTATATAATGAAAGTATTAAAGGAACCTAGATATGTTGGAATTAAACTTATTAAGATATCACGAAGAAATTCATTGTATCAAGAGGTAAAACACATTAAAGGCCTATAGAAAGAATAAATCAAATTGACTATTGATTCTTTTGAGAAAGAAGTCTTTTGACAAAGTAATATTCATATTAAATGTAATAAATATAATGTATGTACGAGAACTATAATAGATTTGGATCATGACACATATAGATATTTTAAGTGAAACATCGAATATTTTATTTTGTCCTTACTCTCCCTTTGTGTGATAGCTCTATCTCTTCTCCCTATCTAGTTTAACATTTGGTATCAAAGCTGAAGTTAAGCTGTGACCTCTTCCTCAAGCACCATCCAACTCTAAATCCCTAGATTGATAAAAAAAAATTATAATATATAGTGCATCGAAATAAAGGTTCTTATAGGCTCCTAAGATATATAAGAGTTTGTGGAAGATGGATTTATTAAATTAAGTCCAACAGAAGGAGCAATAAATATAGAATTAAAAAAATATCTCAAAGATAAAAAGAAGAAGGAGAAAAAACTTTGTTCACGATTTACCAAGGGATTGATGATATAATATTTGAGATTATCATTCCAACAAATACTTCAAAAGAGGCTTGAGAAATGCTTCAAAGAATATTTGGTAGTGTGGATAATGTAAAAAAATTTCATCTATAAATTTTACAAGCTAAGTCTAAAAAATTATAACAAGGAACTTCTGAATCTATTTCTGATTACTTCTCAAAAATTATTTCTATTGTTCATCAAATGAGGTGAAATGGTGAATAAATAAGTGATCAAAGAGTAATAAAAAAATGCTAAGATCTCTAGATTTAAAGTTTAATTTTTATTACTATAGTGATCGAAGAGTTTAAAGATTTGGAACAAATGTCTTTTATACAACTAATGTGTTCTCAAATCAATCAAGGATCTCAAAATAATAAAGGTAATGGTGAATATTTTAGCCAAATAGGCCAAGGTTATGGTCGAGACTGTGGATATGGTAGAAATTCTAAAATGTCTGAAATATAATATTATATTTGTAAAAGGTATGAACACTACTTCTTTGAATGTTATTAGAATTCTAACAATCAAGGTGATAAGGCAAGTTTTGTTGAAAAATAATAGAAGAATGAAAATCATATTTTGCTAATGACTTATAATAATTTGAAAGAATATTAATCTATGACATGGTATGTAAATATAGGAGCTTCAAATTATATGTGTGGCATCAAAGAATTATTTTTTAAAATATATACAAGTTATTTCGGCAATATTATATTTGGTGATATATCTCAAAAGCTAGTAAGAGACAAAAATAAAATTTTTTTGGACTTAATAATAGAAAGAATTATGCATTTATGATGTTTATTATATCCTTATTATAAAAAAAATAATATTATGAGCTTGGGCCAATTATTTGAAAAAGATTATAATATTAAGATAAAAGATATAACTTTTTCAATTCATAATAAAAATAAAACATTGATCTCATATGTGAAGATAATGAAGAATAGAATGTTTCCTCTATATTTATGTATTTTTGATCAGTTATATTATTTTAAAACTAATATTGAGGATAACACTATAGACATCTTGGATGTACTCACTTAAATTTCGAGGCTTAAACTTCTAGAGAAATATAATATGATGGCATGATTGCCTAGAATTGATCGCTCATCAAAGTTATGTAAAATATGTATTATGGGCAAGCAAGAAAGAATGTCTTTCAAATTAAGAAGAACATAAAAGGCATGGTATTAATTTGATTTGGTGCACTCAGATGTTTCTTGCCCTATCAGTCTAGTATCACTTGAACGAAGTAAGCATTTTTTTACCTTCAATGATGATTATAGTGGCAAAACTTGAGTTTATATATTAAAGGAAAAGAAAAAATTTTAAGTAAATTTAACGAATTTAAAAATTTAGTTGAAAGACAAAATAGTTGTAAGATTAAATATTTAAGAATAGATAAGAATGATGAATACATATCAAATGAATTTTAATTTTTTTTTATAAAAATAATATAATTTTACATCAATTCACTGTGATGTACACACCTTAATAAAATTATGTCTTAGAAAGAAAAAAAAGGACTATACTTAATATGATCAAATGCATGTTAAAAAAAAAATGAAATATTTTGGGAAGTTACTGTTGGTTATGTAGTTTATTTGCTTAATAGATCTTCGATAAGGTGAATTAGTAATATTATATCAGAAGAAGTATGAAGCTTACAAAAACCAAGAGTCGATCATTTAAAATTTTTTGAAAGTATTGTATTTGACCAGATACTAAAAGAAAAGAGAATATAACTTAAGGATAAAAGTTAGAAATGTATTTTGTTAGATTATATTGAGAATTTCAATGGTTACAAACTCCACAATCCTATTATAAATAAAGTTATAATATCAAGAGATGTTGAGTTTGATGAAAAATAGATTTATAATTTTAAAAATAATAAGAAGCATGAGAAGGCTATGATTCATAAGAGGATAATATAATACAAATAAGCATCGAAGAGTCTTTGCTTGAATCATCACCTATATCGACTAGGTTGCATGATTCAAAAAGTTTGATTTTAAGAAATGCAAGAATGATTCAAGAGCTATATGATGTGACTCGAATAATTGATACCAACAATGATGAGTTTTTTTTTTATTTTATCTTTTTACAAGATATGATACATTAACCATCCAAAAAGCTTATAGAAAAGAAAAATGACTATACGCTATGAATGAAAAAATCATGCTATTAATAAAAAAAAGATAAATGAGAGTTTACTATACTTCCAAAAGACCACCAAGTGACCAATATTAAGTGGATATTCAAAATAAAAAAATACACAAGTGAAGGTAAAGAAATACAAGACTCGATTGGTTACAAAAGGATATAAACAATAATATGAAATCGATTATGAAGAAGTTTTCATACCAGTTGCTTGACTGGATGCAATAAAATTACTTCTCTCTCTAGCAGCTCAAATGATATTAAAAATTTTATAAATAGATATCAAATGAATATTTCTTAATGAATTTCTTAAAGAAGAGGTATATGTTCAACAACTCCCTAATTTTATTATTCATAACCAAGAAAATAAGATATACAAGTTAAAAAGGGCTTTTTATGGGCTTAAACAAGTCTTACGAGCATGAGATTCCCGAATAGATGCTTATTTTATTCCAAATGATTTTTCTAAATATATAAACATGCTCTCTTTATGAAATTTAACTCTGATGGAGATAATATTTATATACCTGTATATAAATGATTTAATTTTTATAAGAAATAGTGTCTTCATGATTAAAAATTTTAAACATTCCATGAAGAAGGAGTTTAAGATGACTGACTTAGGCTTAATGACTTACTTCCTTAGTATCGAAGTTATACAAGACAATGAAGAAATTTTCAACTCACAAAAAAATTATACAAAGGAAATTCTAAAGAAGTTTTTTTACGAAAGATTGTCACATTACAAATACACCTATGGAATATGGCACTAAGTTGATTAAGGAATGTGAAGGTAAATCAATTAATATAATTTATTATAACAGTCTAGTTGGATATTTAAGATATTTGACATGCACTCAACTTGATATATTATTTTGAGTTGGTTTAATAGGTAGATACATAGAAACTCCTAATATATCTCATTTAAAGGTTGTTAAAAAGTTTTATAATATATTAAAGGGATAATTAACTATGGCATATTCTATTCATCATATAAAAGGTTGGAACTTATTAAATATAGTGATAGTGATCGGACCGAAAGCTACGATGATCGAATGAGTACAATCAGATTTGTATTTTATTTTGGTAAAGCTATATTCACATGATCTTCAAAAAATAATATATCATTGCTTATTAAGTTGTGAAACATAATATATATAGTAATACATTCTTATGTTTGTCATGCAATATTGTTAAGAAGACTACTCTATGAATTTCATAATATCGTAGGAGAAGTCAATCAAAATTTATGTTGATAATAAATCAACTATTGCCTTAGGCAAGAAATGAATCAAAGATGCATATCAATATAAAATTTTATTTTATAAGAAACCATGTCAAAAATAAAGAAATTGAACTATTCCATATCAACAAGTGAACAAGTGGTCGATATACTCACAAAATCTTTCTAGTTTCAAATATTTCAATAATCTCAAAGAAACTCAACATGTTTGATGAAATAAGTTTAAAAGGGAAGAATGTTGAAATTAAACTTATGAAGGCACCATAAAGAAGTTTATTGTACCGAGAGGTGAAACACATTAAAGGCTTATTGAAAAATAAATCAAATTGACTATTAATTATTAAAAAAGTTTAAAAAAGAAATATTCATATTAAATGTAGGGAATATATAAACCGCATGTGTTGAGTAA